GGAGCTCTATGAATTCTCGTTACAAGAAGTGACTTATAGTGATTAAAAGGCCATTCAGGTTGTATGACCGTTGAATTGATTTGCAATCTTTTGTGATTTAAAAATAATGACATCAACAAATGGAAATTTTAATTTGACGATGTCAATTAAGGGAGCAGTAATTGCAATTGTTGTGAAACACTCTGCAATGCATCTCCAAGTTAATATGGTTCTATTTCGTAAGAAATTGTTTCTTTTATCAACAAAGTCCTCCGAACCATCTGTGAAATTCGCTTCGTATTGGGCAGCAATTAAGAAATTAGGATATGCACTGCATATAATGAAGTAATCTTGCGCTGATGGTTCTCAGCTTTCAAACTTTCCCAGTGACTGAAAACAGAGATTGATCAATTTCCCTATCCCATTTTTTCTCTCATGGAAGTTGGACAATTATCGTTAGCTGCCTTTGGCATCAATTTTATGATCGAATTTCTTTTTAAAATAGAAAAACATGATTTTGGAAAAATATTTAAAAATGTCATAATACGAATCACTGCAGGAATGTTCAGATAGTCCCAAAGCCATTCCTGTGAGGTAGCGGAATTATCCATAAAAATTTCTAGCAATTATCAAGAGATAAAAGTGGTTATATAAATAATGCATTAACATTTATCAAAGTTAACTTCAAAACTTCGTATCTATTCTGCTATCAAGTTATTTATCTATCTATTAATATTTTAGTGATTCCAATTCAGTTGTCAATAAACGTTTATCTAAATTCTTTTCATCTTTTTACACAATAACTGAAATTGAATTTTACTGAATTTGCTATAACGCACTTCATACTAGAAGTAACAGCCCTGGTAACAAAGGCGTTGAATTAATTAACCTTTCAACAGATTTGATTTCTGTACAAATTTTCATTTCTTTTCAATTTCCATTGTTTCTCCTTAATTTTTTAGTTATTTATTATCATTCTGTTTTCAGTCTGCCATCAATTACAACATTCCTTCATTATCTTTTTATTCTTGATACTAAAATTTTCATTGATGGTATTCTTAAAATGATCGCTGATAATGATTGCTGTTGTGAAGACCAAAGACAAGTTTAAAAGAACTCTTTAATTTTTTTAAACTCAAACGTATAACACAACAGAAATGCACATCCAATAACGTCTTAATATTGGCAATCAGTTCATGGGCAATTAGTTCTTAGAAAAATTAAGAATGCTTGTGAAATTTTACTAAATTAATTTAGTAAAAATAGTGGACACTGGGAAAGGAGAACAATGGGGTGAAGATGGTTGGTGGAATGGTACTTTAGCATTTCAGAATTTAATTGGCTGACAATTAAATAAATACAAGGAATGAGATTTTTTAATTTACATCTCTCTCTCTCTCTCTTTATCCTATAAGTTTATAAAAGTTTGGTTTGTCTGTGATGAATGATTACCATCCTTGAAATATTTTGTTTTATAATGTAAAAATAGCAACAATCATTATTCATTAACAAATTTGTCCTAATTTTATAACAGTTAGAAACGCATTTTGCTTGTTTGCCCAAATATTTGATAACGGACCGCTGATTACATATTTAATATGTAGATGATTTCTGGTAAGGATAAATATAGTAAGATTATAAATATTTCATTATTGATGGTTGCTTTCAAACTCTCTTTCTATTATCAGTTTTTTTTTTTCTTCTTTTCAAAATCATATGAATCACTCGGAATTTCGATGCACCTTAGCTGTTTGTTGTTATCGCAAACGAATTGTCTAATGTATTTCACTGCTGCGAAATTTCCGATTTGTTATCGCATTCGGACCTCAAGGACAATTTGATATCAATTTTGTCAGTAGTGACTTCTCTACTTGAAAAAAGAAAAAATTTTCAACGCTTTGCAAATGTAGAAGATTTCAAAAATTCTCATTTCAAAAACTGATTACTTTCATTTTTCCCTTATATTTTACTGAAAATTTTTATTTTTTTTTTTTCATTGTAGGATAGGCGGTTTAAAAAAAATTTTAAAGTTATGTCTAATCTTCGCTTCTTCATTCGTCCATTCATTTACTCTTTACATGCTAATTAAATAAATGTGTTAATTGAAATTTGTATATATATATTGTGTTTAGTGTCTGACGTACTGGTTAATATAGAAGCAAAATTCTATGGTAGATTTGGCACTGAATCGGCATGCAAAGCGTTGTATCTGTTGATTGCGTGACCTTCAACCCGTAAACGCTAATTAATTCATGTCAAATTAAGATAGTCGATTGATTTGCTCCACAAAAAGTTCTAAATTTCCCTCTCTGCTAATAGATTAGGTGCGTATGTTTCAGAAAATATGATAGATTGGAAAGTAAAAATTTTTTCTTCCGCTTCCATTATTTTAAATTCCTGATGCTTTTTTCATTATTGTTGGAAAATTACGTGTTTCTGCCTTGGTAAGCTAGTCTTTTAACTTTATTTGAAAAGATTAAAAACTTAAATTTTGAAGAAATTGAAAGTGGAATAGATAGGTGGCTACTCTTTCTGTGACTTTAAAATTGCAATTTTATACAAGAAGACTTTCTCGATCAGTTTTATCTTGGAAAGAATTTAGAATTTAACTAACCAGAATTTGCATCTTTGATCTAAAAAAAAAAAAAAAAGAAAAAAAAATTTAGAAAATTCTTGGGAGGATTTACGAGGAGAAGCAGGGGGAGAAAGAAAGTCTACTGAGTTCGATTTTTTGAGAACTGAGATAAAAGACTGAGACAAAGTGAATAAATTAAAGAGAAAGGAAGTGTAAAATAAGGGTTACTAATGCACATTTAGGATGAGAGCTAGGCTCAATTTTTGTGATAGTTTCTGTCTTTCCTTTTCCTGTGAAAGTTTTACTGGTGACAATCTGCATACATCAACAAAAAATTTTTCAATCAATAGAATTGAAGAGAACTTTCATGAATGAAATCAACAGTTCATAAAAACTTTATTCTACTGTGCAATGACCACGAAAGTTTTAGTGAACATATAAAGAGCAATGTTTGCATCTAAACTTGTTTGAATTTCTGCTCCATTGAGAAAATTTCCAAAATTTGTACTTTTTTCTATTGTCACTTTTTGCTCTGCTCTTTTGGAATTTATTTTTGTAAATCAAAATTCACAAGATGTTACTCTTTTCTTTTCAAAATAGTGAAGAAGAAATTCTACTAATGTGATAGCTTTAAATCTTTTTTCGAAATCTTTTCTAGTTTAAATCCTTTTTCCTAATTTTTTTTTACGAGCAATTAAATCAAATTATTGAGAAGAAATGAATATGATAGTTTTATATATCTGCAAGTCATTCTTCCTGACATTTACATATTACCTTTCTTTGGGTATTTCTTATACTTCTCCTTTTTAAAACTTTCCAACTGAAATGCTACGTTGGTTCTTTCATTCTTTTATTAAATTTATTATTATCCTGTTCTTCATGATCTCTAACTTAATCTCACATTAATTATTTTATGGCAATTTATAATAAGCGATAAATCATCACTGAAAAGAGCCTTTCAATTAGATAACTTTAGATTGTTGTTTGAGTGTGGTAAATTTGAATAAATTTGTTATCTTGTTCACTTTGTCGAGCCTCTCTAGTAGCCTTTTCTAGCTCACCAACAAGTAGTGAAGGCATCTTTGAATTAAGAACTGAAGTCTAAAATTATGGTACAAATGACAATTGATTTTAACTTGAGCAATTCTTCAATACTGCATTTATACCGTTATTGTTAGCAGAATACACCTTTACAGATATAGTTCAATATTGTAATATAGGATGTAGGAGATGGTTTAGTGCTCTTAATTCTTTAGTGTCAAAGCACTTTGCCATCAGCTGTTTTGTCAAAGAATATTTGTTCATTGATTCGTAACTTCCACACTCGTTGAAAAAGAAATTTTTCAAGGATAAGAATACATGAATTTTTATTGTTGCAATTGCATTTTTAGTAATTTGCCTGGCAAAATTTTGGTTTTTTAAACGGAAATATGCCCTAATTTAGTTATACGCAAAAATTTCTGAAAAGAATACTAAAAATCTATTCACTTGTAAAAATGTTTTTTTGGTAATTTAAGAAATTAGATGATATCATTGGTATTTTCAGGAAACCAAACATATGTCTTGCATTATTTAGTTTGATTAAATCATTTTATGTCTTATTATTTCTTCAATTTCTTTTCCTTGCTAATTGTTATGATCAAATTTATTTTGTATTTTTGCTTTTTCAATTATTTAATTTTATATAGAAATTTTGTGAGAATGAAGGAGTAATTTGAACTAAAGAATATTTGTATGGGTGCTTAGGACAGTATAATAATATAATTCACAAAGCAAAAAGATCAGTATGTGGTCAGCTGCAATTAAATGCTAAAAGATAGAAGTATTGCTGGCTATGGTAGAGAATAAATTATGCAAATAGGATTTAAATTGCTTTTCACTTTAGCAATTGGTTTTGACAAAAGAAAAAATATCTTCAATTTTTTCAAAATTTATGTAGGTAAAATGACTGCTTTTCGAAATAATTAGTGCGTCGTTTCTTCATTTAAATGATATCATTTTTGAGATATTTTATAAGTTATAAATTAGTTGAAAATCTGTCGTTTTAATTTAAATATAGTAAATGTATTGCTGCTCAATTCTCTCTTTTTTCAAAAAAAAAAAAAAAAAAGCTATTAAAATTAATTCGTCTAATAAATTAATGAAGTAGGATAATTTACTCAATTATCGATTCGGAGCCAGTAGATGACAGTTAGTATTTAAAAGTTAAGCTGTGAGAAAGCCAATTATGCTGCCGTAGTTATTGTACTAAATTCTGTTTTTGTGCTTAATTCTCTTCTTTCAAATAAGTTTGCAATTTATCTAACAATTTACTTGGAATAGGAATTTCGATGCAATATGAATGCTAATTTTGCTTTTTTTTCCAATAACTACTAAACACCGAATTTAAAATTTATTTGTTTTGCAGATCAAATGTATCAGGTATGGTAGTAATGTGGAATACTTGATGATTATGGCAGACGATGATGTATTAAATATACAAATTTTCATCCCCGAACTTCATATTCAGGTTAACCAAAGATTTCATGTACTTTTCGATGCAGCGCACCTCCTTTTTCATCTATGATTTTTATCTCATTTTGAGGTGTTTATGATTCAGAATTTGAGGAAAAGAAGGAACTGTAAAAAGTAAAATGAGTAAAAAGACCGATAAGAGAAAAACTTACATGGAAACTCTTTATAAGACATATAAGGAGGGATTTTGTATGCTTCAGAGCACAAATTTATGTTTGCAAATATACGAAATTAATGCTTAAATGAATGTTTAATGACAACTTTGTTTGAGATACTCTTTATACTTGACAAGTTATTGGCCAGTTATACACGTAGAAGCAATGTTAGCGGTTTAAATCCTTTTTGTTTGTTTGCTGAAGAAAAAAGCAGTACTCTGACAAACATTTCCTCTTCAGTATTGCTTTGATCACTGATGATCAATCACTTTGCATCTCTATCAAAAACAAAAAAAAGTGATACGGTACCCAACTCATGCACTATTCATATCTTTGCATGTATGATATTACCCATACGGTACATTGTACTTATCTTTCACACTGTGTATTCCTTATTGTCATAGCACTACTTGAACAAAAAGTATGTATCCTCAAAATAAATTTTATATGCTGAGAATCCTGCATGAAATATATGTTTAAATTAAATTATCTTCTGACTGGTTATGATTTAAAAAGCATTGATATGGAAACTACTGCATTATAGAAATGTTTGGTTGTTAATCTTGATGAGAAAGTTTGGGAAATCAAAGGGCGACTTGTCCAATCTCTTCAGAATGTAAGCTCACATTTTACGACATTTTTGTTTTCTTTTAAAAGATTTTTTGCTCATCTCTCGGTTGAAACTAGCATCTCTTGATTAAATTTCGTTACGCAACTATTTGAGAGATTACTTGAAATTCGATCATAAGTTTAAAATGTCAGCAACTTTACAATTCTTCTAAATGTTAACAGTGATAACAGGATAAGAAGAGAAAAACAGATCTGGTGATTAATGATTTGTTCTGAATTATTTTGCAGAAGCTACCTCAGTCATTCAACTACGGCTTGTTTCTGCCACCTTGCGATGGCCGCGCTGGCAAATTCTTACTGGAGGACCGTCCGATACGTGAATATCCATTTCATGATTGTGTCCCTTATCTTGAGGTTATTTTCACATGATATCAATTCTAAGACAGAACAAAAGCATTTATGGTCTGGTCGAAACCTTAATAAACTTTTAGTTTTGAGACATTCATTATATCTCAAAAATTCTTTAACTTCCACACTAATTTCTTGCTTTTCATGATATTTTAAATATAATTACAAATAAAAAATTAGATATAGTAATAGTAATAAATTTCGTTCAAATCATATTAATTACTGAAATATAAATCATTATGAAGTTTTCATTTATTTTCTACTAAACTTCTTCAAAACAGTAAAAGCAAATTTTAATAAGAAACAATCAAAATTTTGACTTTAATTCTTCAAAACAGTAAAGCAAATTTTAATAAGAAACAATCAAAATTTTTCATTTAAGCTCAAATACAAAAAGCGGGTTTACAAAATGTTGAATATTGACGAAAAGCAACTGGAAAAATTACATACTAAGGTAAATTATTTTAATTTAGCTTTGAGAAATTCTTGCTTATTAAATTAATTGAAAAAACAGAATAATTTACTTTGAAGAAGCACTTAATCCATTCCTCTCCTTCAGGCATATTTTCATCTTTCAGTCAAATTTGAAAAAATTCATGAATCACATTGCTCTTGGACAGCTAAAACGGACGGAAGAAATGTGTACTGCGGGATTTGATCCTAATTTTCACGATAATGAAGGTAAGACACCATTGACGATGGTGTGTTCATTACCAAATAACGAAGGTTTTATTAAAACGTTGGTAGAACATGGAGCTCACGTCGATTTCCGAAACAGTGATGGACAGGTAATATTATACTTTAAATTTAGCAAATGAAAAAAGAGGATAGTTAACTCAGTTAAATATATTTTAAAACTATATATTTTCATTAAGTAGGAATATAGCTTTTGATTATTTAATGTAAAGCCTTTTGGAACTAAATCATAATTTAAGATTAGATGAAAGAAAATGAGGTTTATTTATTAAGCTTGCTTGATTCACTTTCCATAGAATGTTAATTCTATGGAAAGTGATAAAGATTTTATTAGTAAATTGCAGAAAATATTTTGATATATGATTATTATTATAATGATTTTATACTATTAATATAGTCATATACACTTCAAACAAACTAAAGTGATGTTGTTGATATCCCAGAGTATTAATCTATCATGTAATATTTTATAGACACCAATGCATAAGGCGGCATATTGGTCTTTGGCGGAAAATGTTAACTGTTTGCTTGAACTTGGTGCATCACCAAACTATCGGGATCCACTTGGCTTGACACCACTTTACTACAACATGCTGCAGAGTAGTTCAAAATCATCAGTAGCTCAAATGTTACTTTATAATTATTCAGATATTAATGTAACTGATTTGGATGGAAATCATGAGATACATCAGGTTTGTACCGTTACCATTTAGATAGTTATGATATGTGATTTGCAGGTTGATTTATTAATTTGAACTTCATAAATTCTAAAAGTTTGGAAAAATTAGGATTAACTTTTTCTAAAAATAAAGTTCCAGAAATTTGTGGCATAAACTGATTTTCCCTGGTAGAAATCTTTATTCTTTAGTTACTATGTTACTGTCAACTTTATGAAAGTTTTTCAAAATATTTTGAAAAATTCAAGAAATGATGTGACAATTTTTTAAATTCTTTTCTAAAATGTTGCCATGCATGTCTTCCCAAAAATTTGATCTTTTTCTCGTCTACAAATGACGCCAATGCTTTAAAAAGGATTCGACGTTTTAGCAGTCTTTTCTTTGAAAAGTCGTTAAATGAGAAAGAAATCTTGAATTCTGCATTTCCTAATAATGACAGTACTAAATTAATAAGAGTGTTTCGTATTCTTTTTTCTTCGCGTTATCCGTTTACATTATCAGTTCAGATTTAATCCAAAATCTCTTCCATTTTCAAAATCTATTAGACAGAAAGAACAATTTTAACAGCAAGATATTCTATACGTGCATCTTTTTATATAAACAGGATTACTCGTCTTAATTTCATTGTTCTCATTAAGACTGATTTCGATGACAATGAAAGAATATTGCTTTAACATAAAAAATACCATGCTTCGCACTTCTGTGTGATGTAGAATACCGCACTTCAAGAATTTGTGAGTCGTAAAATTACAATTCAGATAGGAGTGGTTGTTGTTGTCAGAATATCTGACAAATCTGTTTTGGGGTGGGGTAAAGAAGAATGACAAAGACATGAAATTCCGGCGTGAGCCATTTTGTAGAAACTTTAAAAGTGTGGAGAAAACATACCTGTTAATTGATGAAGATGGGATGGTCCGAATTAGCAACACCTAATCAGTAATTTCTTTTAAATGGGAATTTTATTCTATTCTTTTGATCATATCATAACTAGGAAATGTATTGGACAGTCACTAACGCAACTAAGTAGTATTCGAATTTATTATAGACAATATGAAATATGATAAAACCGATTCCATTCGAAGATATGTTCTTCGAGGAAAACAGAAAGCATCTGGCTATACCTGATACTTATCTATCTAATCAGCAGTAATTTTCTTCAAGCTAGACTTGTTAAAGAGATTTGGCTCATTTTGTTAAGCAAAATAATGTAATCACCATGACTTAAATGTTGACACTTAATGAGAAAAAGTTTTTCTATTTCTGAATTCTCTACGTTTTAAAAAAAACACTTTTCGTTAGCATGAACAAATTAGAAAACAAAACGAATTAAAGAAAAATATTAATAGTATGAACGCGATCGTTACTACCTATGCTAACATTATCCTTTCTATTAGCCAATTTATCATATTATTATGTTAGTTTTGTTGTCGTCATCCAACTAGATAACTGACATTTCTCAAAAAACTCTTTCATTTTTCGAAAAGGAAAAATTTCTATGAAAAAACAGTTTCTTATTTTATCATTTTATTCTGTTAAATAAGGAGATATATATGTCATAATATATGACACTCAGTAGAGGCTTTTGTTACGGATTACTCTTCTTTACACATCAGTATTATAACTCTTGATGATTCTCGCGGATTATTCGATTTACTATACTGTTCCGATTCTTACCCAAATAGTCACTATACAAATATATGACAAGTGTTGCTTTAGTGGGCATTTACAACTTTTATAATAGATGTATTAACCTTTCTGTTTACAAAACACTGTCTATTTTTGAGATCGATTTTCTAATTTCAAATTGAAAGTTAGATTTGTTCAAATGCGATAAACTTAAAGTAATAAACTTCTGTTTATACATAGCAATCACTTTTACTCTCAGTGATAATTGCTAAGATATCCCTGCTAAATGTAGCAAAGAATCTCTTAAGGACGAGAAAAGAATAACTCGAAAATTTAAATAGTCTATGAATGCTTTCAACTACGGAAACAGCAAAAACAACATTACTTGTGTAATATTATCCGTACAGTAAATACTATCTTCTTTGATACTAATTGATTAGAATTAAGAAATAAAGTATTGCTTATAACAAGAAATCCAAAATGAAAATACATCTTCTTTATTACCTCAGGATTTATTGACGAAACAAAAATAATGGCTTCGTTCAATACCTATAAGAAGAGCAGAATTTATTCCAATTTAGAAGTTCCACTAAAATTTTCTCTCGGATCATGAGGATAAATATTTATAATCTCAGTTCCTTGGAATTTAAGAAGATTTCTCAATCGAAACGATAAAATATTATTTCAGCGTACTTCATGTTCTAACCATTGCAAATATTAAGCAACTTTTAAAATGAATTAAAATACCAAGCTAAATTCCTTATACAATTCCTTGTTTCTTATTTATTTTTCTAATTCATTTTCATTTGTTCTTCTAAGCTCAATTATTTTTTCGTTCAATTTATTGGTCAAAATTTTTTCAGACGAAATTTTAAAGATATGAAAAAAAGCAACAATTTTCTTTTTTTTTTTCAGGCATGCAAGAATGGTTTGGTGCAACATATGGATTATTTGATATACTATGGAGCTGAAATTAATGCTCAGAATATCAATGGGAATACTCCGCTTCATATTTGCGCAATTCATAATAAGTAATTAGTTTTGATTTTTCTTTCCGCTTTTTTTGCGGATCTATATGCTACAGGCACTCCATATACAAAAAAAAAAAAAAAAAAGCGGATTTACAAAATGCTGAAAAAAAAATTTTATAAGACTTCAAGTTTTTGCTTTTTGGGGCGTAAAAATGTTAATGAAATTAAGCTCGCATTCAATAAATCTAATTTCTCTTGATCTAAAAAGAAATGAAGGGTAAAATATAGCATATCTGTTTTCATTAGTTCAAAAAGAATTTGATTTTACTAGTTGAAAAATTTTTCAGACCTAATTGCGCACGTTTATTACTGTTTCGTGGTGCTAATCCAACAGTTATGAATAAGCAAAGCCAGACAGCGTTAGATGTGGCACAGATTCTTGGCTGTCATGAAATAACGAAAGTTATTTTGGACCATGACCCTGTATCCACTGGTTTGTTACATCTTTGCAAATAAATCCAAAATCATTTCTTCAGAGATCTTTACCTTTGTTAGAAACCTGGCACATTTAGGACCCGATCGACCTTTCCGTGTCAAAACATTTTCAGGCGCTCGGTTTTGGTCATGTCATTTTGTAATATGATCGAGAGTATAGTCGAGATTTTAGAGATCAAGAATTATCTGTTCATTTCTCGATTTATATTTAGGAATAAAATACTGGAGTTCTTTCTATTCTTTTATATTTTGACTTTTACCCAAAGAGTCGATACTATCAGTTTGAGAATGGTAAAATTGGCTTGACTTCCAGCATAAAATTTTTCAGTGCCCTATAACGTGAAGCCGACTTTTAATCCCAGAAGGCGTTCATCGATATTACCTAGTCAACGATCCTCAAGTCGGACATCACTTTGCAACAGTGAATATCGATCTGTGGTAAAAATTTTTGATAATAATTTTAATTCTACATATCGAACAAAAGTGAAAAATGAAAGTAATTTATAATCTGATATGTGATATTATAATGTCATCCAATTTCTCAATTGAACTTCTTTGATCTTTTGGTGTTAAACAAAGTAAAACAATTTGAAAGTTGATAATTCGGTCTTTGGATAGCTTGCAAAAGTACTGACTTTTTTAGATACCGGCCAGCCCGACACCAAGCCATATGTCAGTATCCAGTTATAAAACGTGTCCAGGGGATATTGATGGTGGATATAGTACAATGCGACGATATCCAGCTTACCCCCTAATGAACATCAATGGTTTTGAGTACGCCTCATTTATTAATTAAGTGCAAACATTCTAAGTAATCAAAAGCTTAGGGCAGATTAGTAAAGTGATTTAACGTTAAAATAGTCTGACTGGGAATGTATGGTTGCGCTGGAAACGTGTAAAATTGCTTGCGTAACACTACATAGATGTTGAAATATCGGATTTTAGATGTTTTTTTTTTTATGTATAAAAGTTTTTTGTACATACAAAAACGAATCAAAAAAAAGTTCCCAGTGATCGTCTTTAACTATTTGTTTATTTTATAAAATGAATAGAACTGGTTCTTTTGAAAGGCTCTTATTTACTCAATTCATTTAGCAGTATGCTTCCAGGATTAACATACCACGCACTATCGTAATACCGCGAGATAGTAAAGGTGGCTTCGGATTCGTCTTACGAGGCGCTACAAGTTTGTCCTCACAATTATTTTGCTGTGTATGTGTATGGGAATATGTTAACTTGTGTACAAAATTAAAACGAATATGAACTGAACAAAGAAATAAATGCACTAATTGTGACATAAATTTTAAACTTACTGTAGGTTTTGAAATGCTGATTTTTAAAACAAATGAAAATCGGAATGAGAAGAAAAAATATTTTAAAATCGAAATTAATTTAGAATGAATCAAGACTGAATTTAATTCATAGCTATCTAGTTTGCATTGAAGAAGTCAACTACTACTATATATGTTCAGAAGCCGGAAACTTTATTCCAACATTGTTGAATCCAGCATTGCAAAAATTCGAAGGGATTGATCTGCAAGGAATGGCTATGAAAGCGGGTCTAAGACCCGGTGATTTCTTGCTTCAGGTGAACAATATTGATGTACGTAGAACACCGCATGATCAAGTGCATAAATTAATACAGTCTTCGGGAGACACTGTAATGTTAAAGGTAGGTCAAATTTTCTTTTCCTTTAAGCAGTATTTGAACAAATCCTGGATATATTTTCTCTTAGTTATACTATTTGCGTACTCCATTATCATTTGATGAAAGACGGTATTTACGGTATTTCTGTTCCTTATTCACTGATAAAGATAGGATATGAAGTACAGAGATTGTTGTACAGCGATTCACTCAAGCTAATGTTTCTATTTAAAAAGAGGCTGATTTAATAAATTTTCGAAAGGATTTTTCAGGTGATTACTGTCGATCCTGGTTTATTTAGTTTTCCGCCCTCTCATACGATGCCGGTGAATATTTCTCGCACAGGTTGGTAATTTTTAAAATTTTAAACTTTTTGAATAAATGTCAACTTTAGAGATGTCTCATAATGATTTAAGCGACATGAAGCTCGTATTATATGTTTCATTTATTTTTGTTTTTTTCTTAGCTCTATCATTTTAAGTGTAAGATAAAATAAAATGTTATTGTCTCGTGAATAACTATTTGTTTTAACATGATTGAAATGAGTGCAACACCAACAGCTCTGCTCGTAATGTTAAATTGCAAATTGAATCATATGATATCAGTAATGACCAGACTGTCTTAAAGTCGTCAAAATCAAGCTAAACTTAATATTGACAAAAAATTGCAGCTTTCTATAGGGCAAATGTTTGTATTCTAATATTGTGCTTTATAAGTCAAGATAGCATTTGATGGAAAATGCATAATATTTTTATGGCATTCTTAAAATTAGTAGTAATGACTAAATTAATTAGGAAGTGTTTTGCACATTACGACCATTGATTAAAAAAATTTCGCGAAAAAGCTATTCATTGGTTCCTGTTATCACTTCTTGTGTTAGTTGTATTTTTCCCACATTCATTCTCACTTTAAAAAAGTGATATAATCTTTAAATTAGCATGCTTTTGTTGTGCATGTAAACGCTTATAGTTCGGGAATATCGTCCACCAATGCTGCCACAAGACAAAACGTATATCAGCCATTCGTTACCACGTCGAAATCGTCGCATCAGTGGTAAATTCATTCTACTTTATTATTTTTAGCGGATATCCAAAAAGTCCACTTCACAAGTCATTATGAACCTGGAACAGTAAGGAAATCTCTTTCAAGTGGTTTGTATTGTAGTCCAATAGTAACCTTTACCAGAAAGGCGTATAATGCCAGTCGATGTTTAAATTCATTCACTATTCACAGAATTCTTGAAATCACCTGCACCTTTAGTGTTGTTTCCATGGTCGTACATTGATCGTTGTTTCTACTCTTCCTTGCTTGTCAAAAATGTCAACCTCGGCTTTTCAAAGATCATAAAATTAGTGTAGATATTAGTGTAGGTATATATATTTATATATTAAAGTTAATGATGCTATTCTCAATCCAGAGCAGTTGATCGTGTCGCATGTTCGTAGCTTCATGTTATATTCATACCTTCATGTGTCAATGTTATCTTTAAACATATGGTATTTGCTTAGTCCCGGATTATCTCAGAAATCCATTAAATTTAATGCTTCGATTTTGAAGTATTCTTAATTCAAAAAATATTATTGGGAAAGAATGGCTAGGAGTACTAAAACGTAGAACATATTAATGGAAAAAAAAGTTTTAGCAATTGTGTTATTTAACATTTGAAACCCTTCATAACTATTTTATTATCATTCTTGAATTTCAAGTTATTGCAGTTGATTAGAAGTCATTTCACACTTCTTTATTTGTTACTAAAATGTGGATATATGATTATTGGAAATAGTTATAAATAATGTTAAATGAGAGTTAATGGTGCTAATTATTGAATTTTGCAGGTAACATAGGTGACATGTATGGTTATGGTAATAGTTTGCTTCCCTTGCATTCTACTAAATCGGTAGAAACACTAAATCAAAGTAATTACGAACGATTTGCGTCCGTAAAACAACGAATTGGTAGTTCTAAACGTATTTCTATGGAAGAATTGGAACGACTGATGGAACGACAGGGACAGTGTACTTCGCAATTTCAACCCATCCCCATAAATGAGGTTTTTTCACTTCATTTTCCATCTTACAACCTTATAATTTTTTGAAATTGCACTGTTATTTCTCATTTTTCACTTCATGGCATTCTGTTCAGAGAACTTATTTTGTAATTTTGATATTTACTTTTCGCTAAACATTATATTAACTTTGGCTACAGGATTCACTGCCAAATCGAAATAGTTTGAAGTTTAATTCAGTGAATGACCTAAAACGTTACAAAAAAAGTGGCTTACATCGAACAACTTTACCACCTGTAGCTGGTAACGACCATTGTGCTCCGTCAGTAATACAAAGCTTTAATTCTTCACCAGGTCATTATTAAGTTTTCTTTCCTTTTAACATTAACTTTCTAAAGCTTTCAAGAATTAATTCAAGAAATAAAATTTCTTATTCGAATCAAAGACGCAGAAATAAAATATTTCATTTTCAATATTTGGATAAAAGACAAACTTGTTCTTCTCCTTCATCAGAAATTTTAACTTATAACTAATAATTAAAATATAGTTTATTGTTTGGATAATTCTTCAAAAATTCGATTTTATCACCTTGTGGCTGATATATATCTCAACTGTTTTCATCTTTTGTGATTGATAAGTGTTTTGGATATCAGCGATTAGCTGTGCATCGAAACCACTTTTTCTGTTCTCATTATGTCATTGCACTACCACGACAGTTAAAATTTGGAAAAGACTTCAATTTGAAATGGTTTTTTTGGCGCTATCTTAATTATTTAAGCATTCAAATTTCCTGTTTTGTTACAGATTTGCCTCGATCAGTGGATGATGAATCGCCCTCATTGATTTCTTTTAATGGACAAGTTAGCCAACGTGGCTTTGCCATTTCTCCAGACTATTCACGTCCTTTTAAGTCCATCGACCGACCCAAAACACCACCACCTCCTCCACCACTTCCACCGCTGTTTGACAACTTCCCATCATCGTCCTCGAATAATGGTAATACTTTAACGAATAGCACACCTCCGACAATACCTACATCAGCAATGTCGAGCACTTTTCTTGCAGAAACACTAACATCTCCGCCTCGAATCGAAACGACTCTTTCATCTCCACCTGCTGCACCTCCACCTCCACCTCCACCACCACCTCCTCCTCCACCACTTCCTCTGCTCCAGTCTTCTGCAACAACAGCAGCAAAATCTGTGGTATTCTTTTTAGGACACAAATTTTTTCAACTGAATTGCTATTCTCTCAGCGCACGGATATAAAAGTATAAATAGATTAGCTATTTTGACAACTTGTTTAGAATTATATCGACCATTATTGCGACGGTCTAGCAGATAGTGCTAATTAAATGGGTTGTAGAAGTCTTCCGATTATAAAGAACTTTTTGATTTATTCTTCGAAAAGAATCAAATTAATTTTCAGTCTTTTAAAAATGATGATGAAGATGGAGAATCTGAATCAAAAGAAACAAGAACTCCTGCTATCAGTAGTGAAATCTTGTCAACAATAAAATTGAAACCTACCATACGACGTGAACCAGCTAATTACTGTGCAACCGTGCCACGTGGATTTGATTCTGATCTACGTAATGCACTGGCAAAAAGGAGAGGCAAGGCACGCTTTTTTTAATAGAAAATCATGAACTGGCCTGTTATTTGCAAAGCTTATTCTTCGCTGAATTTCCATCATAATATGGGGAAATTTTAGGTTGCTCAAAGTGGTAGTAATGATGCATCGAAAAAAGTAGTTTTCTTGCTGGAGAATCCTCCTGTAGCCACAGTGATCAGGTTTGATCTCCCTAGTTTATTTTAAATATTTTATACCTTCTTGAATTATGCGTGGTATACGAAGTTCTCATCCTCAGATGATTTGACTCTAAAAATTTGAGAGCTCGATCTGTTAGAGGAAGAAGAGATATTTTATAAAAATAAATGATTTTGTAGCAGTTACGGTGGATTAAGTTTGTGCGAATCAGTCCGGCAAAGTGTTCCAAGTTCAACAAAATGGGAGATTGGGAAATCAGAGCATTCTCCAACGAGTATTGCATCAAAAAAAGATAGCGGGTGAGTCAATTGTTAAAATATTTATGTCTTTTACACTTCCATAAATTGCACCGGTAACGAGATATCCTGTCATCACATACTTCGAATTCTATTACTTATTTCGAAAGACACCATAATTTTGAAATTGCGATTGTTTGTCTTTCAAAAACTTACAATTTCCGTTTTCAGTTATACATCGTCACGCACTTCGCTTGAACCATCAGAATGCGGTGAAGAAATTGGATCAGTAGGTGCTACGATAATTGCGGTACCAGGATCTACGAAACCAACCACTGGCGTAGCTGGTGCCAGTTCCGCATGTCATGTCTCGTTGCTTAGTAATCAGTTTGAAGAAATTTGTGGATCTACGTGTACCAGGAAGAGTAATTGTTTATCGCAGGTAGCACCACCTGTTCAACAGTTAGCTCAAGCGGTCAGCGATCATGATTCGGTAAGTACGATGCAATTTTAGGCCTTCAAAAGCTTCGTTTATCCTTCAGCTATACTGAATTACTTTTGCTCAACCTTCTCTTGTCGCATGTTATTGAACGCAATGAAATCAAAAGCTTTTTTGTGAATGCTAATAAATCATTGCACGATTGTTTTCCAACCATTGCAGAAAATGTTTCCGGACCACTGCTATTAGCATCTAGTGAATCAGTTTCGCTTCCGATTTGAAATAACAAAAGTTAAAATTTAATGCAGCCTTGGAAGTCTTTCTACAAAAAAGACAGCATGTAGTTTTAAAGCAACCCACTTTTGGACAATTTCAATTTTCGTTTTTAAGTTTTCTCAAGGAGGGAGATCAAGAGAACTTACTATTGAAACGAGAACTGGAACACCATATGTTTCGAAATTTCCGACTAAGTTAAATAACTCGAACGATTTTACGACTCGTATCAGAAACAATGTTAGGCAGGAAGTTTTATTAAAAAATCCTATCCTAAGATGGCTTATTTTAACACACCTGAACTTCTCGTTATTTTTTGTTATTCATTATTTCGCCTTTTTCCGTGTGTCAGTCTTTGTTCAATTTGCCCCGTTGTACTTTTTCTGGAATTCGAATTTCTCTCCAGATGAGCTTGAACTCCACACTGTCGACGTTAAGTAGACAATCATCAACGGATTGTCAACAGCGGACATTGTCTACTATCCTATTGTCAACATCTCATTGCAAACTCTCAGTAACTCCCTCAACTGACTGCAATGACGATGAACCGGACAGCGGTACTGGTGACTCCGATAACGACGCTGCGACAAAATCTAGTAAGCTGTAAAGAAATTTATTTCATCGATGTTCTGTATGTATGAAAATTTTGTTCCTATCTGTTTGCTCGTATTTGTTTATGTCAGAAAGCTTCCTACTGTTCAACATTTTGAAGCTGCATTGTGATGTTACACAGTTTTGGATAGAGGCCCATTTTGTTCATTTTTTAGAATAGTTTTACTTTTGCTAGAACTCTAATATCTTTTTTATAAATGATCACTTCGATTCCGGTTGCCTTATTCCTTCGTGCTTCTGTCTGTACGGCAATTTGAAATTAGCTGGTTCCTTAAATATTTTCTCTTTCCTGCATTTACGAAGTTCTCAGTCTCGTACTTCATTGAATTTAATATTATAATAATATTTGCAGGTAGTCACACAAGTCCGCTTATGAGTAACAGTTTTATCGATAAACAAGTGGCAAGCTGGACAACTGATGACATTGTTGCATGGCTAAAAACATTAGGCCTTTCGGAACATTCCAGGAAATTCCAGCAGTTTCGAATTGACGGTACTCATTTGTTATCCTTTGATCGATCATTGTTAACGCAGCTCGGTGTCACACGAATTGGTCATCGACAACTGATTGAACGGTCTCTGAAAAGTTTGAGCAATAATTAAGATGTGCTAAAAATAAAAACGGAGAAGTTCCCAAGTTAATTGTTGAATATGGCAAATAATCTTTTCGCTTTGTTAAAATTTGACAGTGTATTCTTAACTGCAGGCTGCAGAATTTTGATGAAGTTGATAATCATAGATATTTGCTTCAGACAGGAAAAAATGTTCCCATTTTTTTTCAAGAAGGAAAAAATAAAAAAAGGGGTGTAGGATGTTTTATTCATTTATTTCAAATATGTATTTATATATACAAAAGAAAAAAAAGTTATGAGAAGTAAAAAATATATTTTTGGTAAAAATGATTGGTTTAAGCCTAAATGGAAAATTTAAGATTTTTTTATGGAACATTTATTCACTTTACTAATATACTTTTGCAAGTTAGAAATATTTATCTACAAATTATTTGTCCTGTTTATTTCAGTCTCGTTTTTTTTTTTTTTTTTTTTTTTTTGCAATACTTCATTTAATGCTATTTCGAAATATGAAATGAATACGTATCTAGTTTGTTATGCTAACTGTTTTTCGAGCAATTGGTGAACTGCTTTTCTACGTGAATTGTTTAGATGTTAAATGACAAAATCGAAATGCATTGTTGCTTCACTGAGCTTTGATGGAAATTAATATTTGTAGTCCATGTAGTTTTACACATTTTTCGTATTACTATTAAGTAAGTAAAAAGTGCAATATAACAAATGAGTGGTTGCTGAAAGGAATTCATATTTGGTATTTTATGATTGCTTTCTTAATCTTGACTTTGTATGTACTTCAATAAATAATGAATAAATATTCAACGAGTGATTGTTCATCCTTCCAAAGAAAATTATATCCTTTTCAGTCCCACTTTTGTAACTTGCTCACTTTTAATGATGGTTATAATTGTCGAGAATTAGTGTATAGCAACAATACTGATAATTTGGTAAGACTTGAAAGTCTTCCAGTATGAGATAAAGAGGAAGAAATAAATTATTGGGAAAATTAAAAGATTTAAATTAGATTAAATTGAATTAAGTGAGCAAGAAAGCAAACGAATTATATTCTAGAAACTATAAAACAGAAGATTGAAGTCCTTATATAGCGGTCACTGGCTTACAAGCAATGACTACAGTAAATAAAACAGATCGTTTTTATTTTGTATATGGTATGGATTGGGTTTTGAAGGTACGTCAGTTAATGATGAGAATGACTGTTAGATTAGGAAACCTCTATAATACAATATTTCAACATTGCAAGTAGATTTAGTTTAGAATAAGGGAGCAATTTTTAACATATTAAACAATGGTTAATGAATGTATTGAAAATCAACTTTTTGTTCTCTTTAAATCCTTTTTCACTTTTTTTGCGACCCCTTTTTGACCATTCATTTTTATCACTTTAAGCCGTATCTTTGCTTATGTGTATATTAATATCGTCTTGAAAATGAAGTAACTACTCGGTGTATGTCCAGAAAACTCAAGAAGGGAGATTTCTAGAAGAAGTTTAAATTCCAATAACTGCTTAAAACGAGCATTGCTCCCTACCAAACAGTGAAGAAATGTTTCTTTCATATTTCAATGAACTTAAGGGTTGTCACTTACAATTTCAGTAAGCCTACTGAAAGATGAATTTAGGAAAATCTTTATCTTTTTAAACAAACACGGCTTGACTTTGTATATTACTGTCTTTAATAATAACTACAATATTTCATTATTTTTTGAAAAGAAATGACTGGTATATAATACAGCAGTACATAATTTATCTTTGATTAAAATGATGGTGGTGTATCACAGTTATCGTGTTGCTACAAGTGGTACTATATGACCGATTAAAATTTCTGCTGTATAAATTGTCATCGTTACAGTTACGACAATGCTTAATTATGATTAAGTGAAATCGCCGTACTGCGTCATTCTCTTCAATTTAATTCGCAACATTGTGTTGTGCAGTGTCATCGACTGGAGTCGAAATCTTTTTGAAAACCCTCAATGTTATCCTCAATTTTTCTAGTATTCCCAATTTTTAGCTAATGCGTTTGATCATATTGAATTATTAACTTAAATTATGTATTTTCAAATATCTTTCAGTTCAGTGCGAAGTAGTAAAAATGATATTTCAACTCGGTCTGTCAAGTTTTACTCCTATCATCCGGCAAATAATTAAATTCAACTTGCTATTATTCTATATACATTTTGTTACGTATTGAATCAAGAAGCCTTGGCGATCTTCGGCAGCACCATGTAATCGGAAACTTGTAAACTATCAGCCCGTGGTGCAATGATCGCATTTATTTGTTTATCTTTTTGGCCATACTCTTCCCTTTTCCTCTTTGCTATATTCAATTTATGACATTTATTAGCCTTCTGCTGAGGGTTTATTTCTATTTTATGGAGATGCTGTGTAACGTAGTAGTTAGTAAAGCCAATAGAAGAGGATCGTTTTATGAAATTATTGAAATTTTGAAGATTCGTGCTAATTCCCGTGACTCATGCTTTTATGTACAGAATTTTTAAATAAAAATTAAAAATATCCGATTTCTTTGTTCTATTAGGTTAAATAAACTTTGTCAAGCATTTAACTTCTTCGATTAATTAGAAAGACCACATTTTACTAACGATTAGGAATATTTCCAAGTATATTTTAGCTTACACCCAAAAATTACAGAAAATAATTCTAATATCGCAGCTCCAGGAAGATGTAAGTGGAAGTATTGAAGAATAGTTTCTGCAACAATTTTGCCGCAGAAATATTTCTACACATTTTTTAAATTTCGAAATCAAGAATATTTCTACATCTCATATATTAAGTTCATTTCAAAAACAAATGTTCATTTAAGTTTGAATCGTTAACCTTAATTTAATGTTTTCATAATCTGAATGGATTCCATTATCAAGCTAAGAAATAGTTGTCACTCCTTATCTCATCAAAACTTGGTATTGTCTTTGACTGTTAGTCCTATACGAGTAGTTCATTACCCCAATAAAAATTACTGATCGATCGGATTTTATTGTATCAGCGAGCTGCTTCATTTCATTTTGCGTTTAATTCCACAAAACAATTTTTTCTCCGGTATATACGAAAAAAAACTGTTTAGAAATAAACGAAGCGATAAAATCATTTGTGAATGTCCAAATTCAATAATACATTAAACACGGCTTTTTGTGGAATTCAAGAAAAATGGATCTGGATAGTTTTTTTTTTTTTAAGCGCATCATAGGTTAACGCTTACTACATATGACTTTCGTATGTTTAAATGACAACTTTCTATTACACTAAGGTCCGAAAGGAAACTTCGCATAATATCTTGTTACAAGAAGTGTTGGTAACCAAAACAAAGCTTAGTACAATGCCATGTGTAGATCAGAAATAAGTATGCCAAAATCCACAATTTGATGATTCCCTTTAGTTTCGAGAGAAAAAGCATGGCGCTGAAAAGAAAATCTGCTTGAATTTGGCTGGAAATTTGTCAAAATATGTCAAAAAACTATGGAACACGTCCTATTTTACAAGTTTTCTAAAATATCGCTTACTTCATATCCATGTAGCTTCTTAGCAAACGCACACGTGAATTCAGCTTTACTTTTCTACAATCCTCCTTTGAACAAATTTATCATTTTGATGTTCTTCTTACAACTAATTTGTCATATATCACTAAATTTATATCCTCTTCTCATTTCATTATTACCATAAGAAAATTGTCTCTGTTAAGTTTTGTAGCGAAAATACAAAAATTTTCAAGCACTTTAATAGATTTTCCATGTTGTTCTTCGAAATTTACATTCATCACATTTTAACCTCCGTACCTGGATTTCACTGTCGATGTGATCTTTCTTATAATAGGCGAAAGTCTATGTTTGTTCAATCTTCAAAATATTCTAGTACCTTATAAAATTTTCAGTCCTTTTTTTCTACTGAATTTTCAAGAAAGGATGAACCTGCAAACTGGTATGCATAAAATAAACGCTTCACTACGTTAATCTCATCAATCAATTAGTTCCTCTGTTGTTCCCCGTTTGCCAAATCAGTTCATTGTTCACTATTCTATCCGTTCGACCGCTTAACCGAAGAGCTCGAATGGCGTGTTTAAATTCGCCATCGATGCTGTCATCATCATTACGATCGTTAATTCTGGACATGCACTGGTATGATTCCATCCATTTGTTATCCTTCTCTCTCTACAATCATCTCAACCATCTGTATCACATACGATGATTTGGCGACTTCTTTCTTCCATCCATCCTCCACCCGCAATCGGAATCGCGTTTCACTTTTCTCAAAGTTCCCTCCCAAATTTATCGCATTCTTTTCATCCGCTACAACTCGCCAATCAATCAGCCAACCATCTTCAATCGATTTTGGAAACTGCAGATCGATTTGTATGACTTGAAGCAAGACGTCCCCAGCTTTGGTCACTTAGAATCTTTCACCCCCAACTATTTGTCTTTAATTTTTGTAAATGGAAAAAAATGAAAACTTGCTATTTGCTATTCTGTGCAAGTGCTAAAAGTATTCATGCATTCAGCGTGGATTGTGATTCTATTTTGAAAACTTACAGTTGCTCCGTTTGTATCTGATTTAAGTTGGTGTAAAATTAGTAGAAAATCTATCAGTAAATCAGTTATCATATCAGCCCATGTTCTGTATTTACCCAAGATAACTTTATCTTGAAACTAAGTAGGATTGTTGTAATTTACATTTGTTTTTGAAATCATTATGATCAATCGAATACATTTCCCAAGTTACATTAAGAGTGAAATAATGTCTTTTTCAGTGTCATAAGACATGAAAAACCTGGTTTAGCTTTTTTAGCCTTTGGGCACGCTCTCGAAGTACAGCTTATTTAATTGATTCATCATGGGCTAGATATTTTGTGACAGAAACCAAGAAAGAGCATACTAAATTTGAAACAGCGCTGTTAACCTGACCAGTGCTCCTGGTCTAATAGCCAGCTATTGACGCTTTTTCAACTATTAAACGTTGTTTATTTGTTTTCCTGTCATGTTTCATTTGTTCTTTTTTTAACGCTGTCGAGTCTTGGCTTTCCTGCTTTTCAGTTTCATACACTGAAACATAACTGATAATCTCCAAGTAATTTAGTTTGCAACTACTCTGCTTTTTTTTTTTATTTTGAATTGTTGAGATTGAATTTTCATGTGACTATTAAGGGCCCTTTATAAAGCGGAATAATGTCCGAACAACATTTCATATCAGCCATAGCTTAAATTATTAGAGTTTTTTTTTTTTTGGATTCTGAGTTCATCCTTCCACACATTACATTTCACTACTTTAGGTATTACTCATATTTTCCTTTTATTTCTTCCATTCTTTCTATTCATAATATATGTGTACATGTGAAAACAGTGCACAAACAAAGGCATACAGAAAAAGTAAAAATATATGAGAAAAAGCTCAAATTTCTAAAGTTAATGATATTAATACTAGGTTGTTAACATCAATTTTTATCAGATCTTTCTTAAATTCCAATTTAAAGAGTTGCGACCTATCCATAAAACGATTTCTTGTCTTCAAGCATTTTCTAGTTATTGGACTAGGAACTAAATTAGTAGACAAGTGCAAAATTAAACTAAAAGCTAAGCATATAAGTGAAATATATATACTACACTCTTTACCTGTGACTATTATCATCAGTGAGCTTATTACGTGCTTGCCGTGCGTAGTTATTCTTCGGATATTTTTGCTAAATTATCTTGGTGCTTTTAGTGCTTGCTTTGTAAACTAGCGGTGAGTTAAGCAATTTGTGGTAAATTAAGACATGTATAGTCCCCTACCGCTCCTTGGTACCTTGGTGTTCATCTTTGTTTTGTTCTCTTTCACAAATAAGCAGCTCACTTCATTTGTTACTGTGTGCATTTGTTTCGGCGTATCGTGTTGAAATTCGATGAGATGGCTGCAGGAATATGTCTGTCTGATGGATGGAGGGACCGGTTTCTGCTCTGGTCGAGGCATTACTTTTTGTCTTTTTCATCATCCATTTACCAAGAAAATCCGTCTTTTTTTCCTTCGAATGTAATGACTTCTTCGTACTGACAAAATTGAGTCCAAGTATTTACTTGAATTTTTCAAAATTTTCGATAAAAGTTTTAGAGACATCCAGCTTGATTGTTTCTTTTGCATATTTCATACTTCCAATAGTTTTATTCTTTTCTGTTTGTATGGAATTTTAATAGTTTTTCTTTCGAATATTAATTAGCTATTAGAAGGGAGAGGAGAGAATTAGCTGAAAACTGTGTTGTATGATGTTAGTTGTTCATAGGCTTAAATATTTCTGTTCATGAAGAAGGGAATTTTATTACCATAAATCGCTGCTTTGCAAAACCTGTTTCGAACTATCATTTCTGATGTTATCACTGTTGTTTGATATAATTTGTAAAGTATTTAAATATTATGGACAGGATTTTTGCACACAGTTGATTGGTACGATTGTTCTGCTATTCATTTAGATAATTCTAAAAAGAAAATTTTGGTGTATTCTCTTTATAATCATAGTAAGGATAATTATAATCAGTTGAAGTAAAACAAGGATTTCATCTCAAATGGAGATGGGAAATCTCGGTAGTCCATAGTAAATTTATTAAATTGAAAGATTTCGTATATTCGGCAATCACTGTTTATTAGTGAGTTGATGGAATTCAAAGGAGAGGAAGGATTGTTATTAGTTACAGCAGAAATAGAGTGACGGAACTTTTCCCTCCCTCTCTCTCTCTCTCTTTCATTCTCCTTTTCTCATTTCTTATCTGTTTAACATTTCAGATTCCTTTTCTCATCTCAAGGATGTTTTTTACTGTCTCACTCTTTAATTCATCCCATTTTCCCTTTTTATATCGTTTTCCTTTCGAATCTACAATCCTGTCGGGAATTTTAGTTTTGTTTGATTGACGATGAAGTCCTTATTGTTTATTTGTTTATGTAAGCAAATTACTCGGAATAAACATTTATTGATTGACGTTATAAGGATTATTCGGTAATATTACAATTAGTCAATCAATTGTGCTAAGCTTTGATTAGGATTGTCTTCAGATTCTCATTTAATTGAAGTTGGTAGGGTGTAGAAAGAGTTGAAACTTACTATTGCTAGAGATTAATCCCAGACAATGGTTTTAACTTCTTATATAGATGATATTGGATTACAGTAATTTGAGTGATTCTCGCTCTTAAGTAATCTTTACTTTATGAAGTGGAAGCAGTATTGCTTTGTTACGTCAGTTGCTTGTAAGAATGAAAGACGTCTACAATATTTCGATATTGCAAGTAGGTTACAAGTAGGATTAGTATAACAATGAAAGTTAATTTTGACAGTCGAATATAAGTTTGGTTGTCGTACTAAAAGATCTTAACATAAAATTGAGAGCAAGTTAAGCAAAACACATATTCTTTGTCAACAGATTGTAGTTTCCTAGACAGTGTAGATAAGCTTAGATAAAAGCTGAACAAATGAAAAATAAAACTAAGAGTTTTATGTTTGTCTAAGGAATATTCAGATAAAACAAAATTACTTACATATTGTAAAATTATTTCGTTTTTTCCGATAACTGGTACAAATTTCCTTTACATTAAAAAAGCGGCAATTAGACAATTGGCAGGCATTTCATGCACTTTTTTTTATTCATATAACCTATTTTAGTAAGCTGATATATAGAGAAAATTCTAAATTTTTGGAACGAAATTTGTTGACCTTGTTGACATCAATAATTCACTTAGTCATCATTGAGAGATGCGCTTTGAAACCTTTTGATCGATTCAATTCTGCCAGAAAATCTGACGTAAACTTATCTGTTTCACTTATCTGCTTGCATATGTAAAATGTTAAAATTAATGCTTGTTGAAACAATTCGGACATCAGTTTTTCAGTTGTATGATAATTTGATTTCAAACAAAGCGTAGAAATCGTAAATGCTCGATTACAAATGCTCGATTATTCATTGCCAGAATTGCTGTTTAAGATTTCTAGTAAAGCTTCATTTTAATGAAGAAAAGCATGGAAAAATTGTTAAAAATTCCACAGGACCTTGTCAAAATTGTTTTTCGACAATCATGCGACAAATATAACTTTGGTTAATTTGTTTTTGTAGCTTAATGGTGTATTCGAATGGATAAATGTGTAATGAAGTGAATCTTTCCGGCAATTAAAATCAAATAGTAGTATAATCATTTATGCTTGAGTCTTACCGTTAGAATCAGAAACATTTCCTTTATTTTTGAGTAGTCTCAGCCATATCGCAATATCAAATGCATCATTGAAAACATTGCTCAACAATATCAGGTACTTTTTAACCTTCTGAATGAGTGCAAATCTGCTCCCCTTCTCTTTGCAGTAATTGGCACGTTGACCTTTTACAGTGTTTTCACGAAATGGATTCCCGTTTTCGGCATCATAAGTGTCCTCAATCATATCCATTTGCTGAATCAGTGTTTGTTATTATCAGTTGTCATAGTGTCTTTATATGTATATTTTTTTTAACTGGTATTTTTAGAATTCTTTATTCAAATTAGATACTTTATTGTTGATTTCTGATCTGAATTTCTCTATTGGTTTTTAGTGGGAAATGAAAAGAGAAGCAAATCATTGAGAAATTTATTGTATTATTCTGTGCAAGATTGAATTTATTTTTTAATTTTATTCTGGCTTCCAGAATAAAATTAAAAAATAAGAACAATGTACTTAATTTTGAAATCAGCATGAAAACAGCGTATGTACCTTTCTGGTTTTACCTCATAAAAATTTCGATTTTACTTCTTAACAGTGTTTTCATAAATTTCTCACCATTCTCAGTAGATTAGTGAAATAGGCTTAATAAAAAATTTGTACATTTCTTATGATACTTCGCTCATTGTTGAAATTTTACTTTTCACCGTGTGGACCGAGGTAGATATACAGTAATTATTATATTGCTAATGACATAATTATTCATAGTTGGGGAAAAATAAACATAAGAGATTTTTATTTAATCCGTACCGGTGATTGGGATTGGGAGCATAGGAAAGAATACATTTTTTCTTGATGTACTACAAGAATCCCTTCATAACATAAACATTTTGAGTGGCTTTGTCTTTCGCATGCTGACGTTAACAGTGTTTTAGTTAAGGCAAATGCATCGTTTTTAAATTGTTAGGGACGCTGGTACATTACATACTAAATTTGCAAAAGTCGCATTTAATTCTCGACATTGGTGTCGATTGTGGTAACAATTCTTTGGAGAATGAAAGGGAATTGCAATGAACAAAGCAATTGCAATAAAAAAAAAAAAAAAAAAATGGTGGAAACGCAAATCTGATGAAAGAGTCTAGTTTACAGCGGACTTTAATCCCCTGATCAGTGGAAATTATAGTATCGATGGAGTTTCTTCGAATGCTATCACCTGTCAGCAAGAAATAAGTGTGGGAAAAAGAACATCAATGGAAGTTCTTTAAAGTTGATTTTTTTTTTTCATTTCTTCATCTGTTGGGCTTGTAACGAAGACTGTTTCACTGTTCAGTATTTAACAATCATTTATGTCTGACTAGTACTAGAAAAGCATTTTTGAACAAGAAAACTGGAGTGAAATAAATGAAATATATATATGAAAATTAGAATGAAATAAATAAAATACACATTAAGTTAAATAAAATAAATAGTGGCGAAAGAAATGAATGATTCGGGCAAGATAAACTCTCAGTGGACGGAAAGGGAGGATTTATTCAAATACGGCTCGGAGTTCAAGGAATGGTCAGAAAGTGTTAAATCGGGCAGAGATACCGTTACGCTATCCCTTCAGACATTTGTTTCTTTGTAATTAACGTTTGCCATCATAATCTTTCTGTGTCAGACGCAGTTGTGTCGTATGTATTATGTACAAATTGTTGTTAAATTAATTTATAACTACGAAACTGCGAAGTTAAATATTTCAAGTTCGAATTTAGGAATCTGAGGACAGAGAGCTTAGGCTTTTCAGAGAGGCGAAGAAATGAAAGATGAACATATAACCTTAACATTTATATTTACTTTTGCGAAATATGATTTTCATTTTCACTAAACTTTGAAACTGTTGCTGCAGACCTGTGAGTTACAAAGCGAGAGAATACAGGAACGAAGAGAGAACGCGAGAAGAGAACAACCAAAGAAAGACGCAATGGTCGGCTTCCAGCAACAACGTCGTCTTAGGGAGGAGCAACTTGGCGTGGAAGAGGGAGTGCAGGACGGCACGATGGCTAGCGGTGTCGGCAACACTGCAGCTGCAGTTGCGGGTGCACCGGGACATCAGCAACAGCAACAGCAACATGGATCGTCGTCAAGTGGCAGAGCGAACTCGCCGAGGGCAAGACTGGCGATGCTGAAACGGTCATCCACCAAGTGCAAAGGTCTTTTCCATTATTCATATTTTCTCTTTTCGCTACCAATAGTTCCATTTTGTCAGTAAATATCTGCGTGTTTTCGATGCGTGATCACGTGAGCTGTCCATCGCAGGACATTCATTGCTTGAATGGTGCGTAAATCCCAAATGCTTTTTTGACACATGTTTTGGACATAACCAAATTGTGTTTGTACTGATGTGTCGTTTCATATAATACGAGAGGGTCATTGTCCTTCTACAAGATTCCATTTACTCGGCTCATTTCTGCCTGGGTTTGTTTGTACAATAGCATTAGCACTTCTCGGTGACTTGATCTTATCCTTTAAAGCTTTTGACTAATCATAACAAGGGATTAGAAGACTGGGGCTGATCGGAAGACAACAAGTCCTGATCAATCTTTATGATGGAGAGAGACTAGATTCCGTTAGCAAGCTAACAGAGCTCGAATCTGGAAAAGTCTTGGGTTAGGTCAGTAAATGTCGACTTTTACTAGAATGAAACTACTTTAAAGCTAGTTCCTTTTCTTCAAATAGTTATTGCTCAAGCTTCATTTTAGTTGGAGCGCTTTTTTCTATAAAACGATGCATTTCAGTTGTTTCTTTCTTATTCAGGTTAAGTATTTGAAACCACTTCACTCCACAAACTTAAATTTTATTAATATAGTCTGATTATAAATGTAAGAAAGTAAAATTTTTTCTTTCAAGTTACTTGCACCAAAATACATAGATTTGTTCTTTACTTACTTGTTTCCAATGCCCAAAAAATTTTCCAGCATTATCCAGTAACGATCCATTTCGATTTCAAGGGAATGGGATAGATTTCAAAGGTAAGTTAATCGGTGTTCGAGACGTTGATGAGGCTCGAGGTGACGCAATGTGCGCCGAAGCGATGAGACTTGCGAAAGCAGCTGTCAAAAGTGCGGGGCATCATAAACAACGAATTATTCTGAATATATCAATCGAAGGCCTCAAAGTTAAAGATGAAAAAACTCAAGTAAGTAATTTCTAGACTATTCAATAAGGAAATCTTCAATAAGCGTTTTTTTTTAATACAACTTTTTGTCATTAAAATGATTTTGTGGGAGTTTTTTAAGTAGCACTTAGATTATAAAAGTTGTGCTATTGGAGACAGTAGTGCAATGGAGAATTAATTCTTAAATCCCTATTTTGATATGATATTTAAATATTGATATGGCTTTACTGTTAATCTTCTCTTTAAAAGAACCAAAATTTTATTAATAAAAGTTTTCTTAATTCGACCGGGATTAGAGCAGTTTGGTAAGTTGATGCCATCTAGTAATAAATAATAGCTTTAACCGGTAATTTCTCAAAAGGTCAATCTTCTAATCGTTGATCATAGCTTCATAGTGGTCATAACTTCATGATTTATGAAGAGTTTTAATTATTCTCTGGATTACTATGAATATAAATATTTCCAGACAGTTTTGCACAATTTTCCCGTTTCACGGATCTCGTTCATAGCACGGGATACAACAGATGCACGTGCATTCGGCTTTATTTATAGTTGTTCAGATAACAAATATAAATTTTACGGTTAGTTGCCTGCCATTATAAATTAGATTTTAGCGGATTGGATTTCTGCTAGCAACACTAAATATTTCAGAGAGATCAAAAAGAATCTGAAAAAGTGAATGATACTGAAATTCTCTGTTTTTTTCTTATTGGTAGAATGCGAAATTGCTACTCCTACTAATATTCGTTCATTGTGCGGTCTGAAAATTTGAAACAAGTTTTAAAGGACATGAAGTTTGGAAAATGATTGAAAATCGTTTTACATCTACATGAACTATTAAAAAATCTTACAGGAATTAAGACGACTCAAACAGCTGATCGTGCAGTTTTATCAATTCGTGATATGTTCCAAATAGTTTTTGAAATGAAGAAAGCTCATCTTGCTGAAGTGAAACAGAAACAGGAAGAGCAGCAGAAACGGGTTTGTTAAACTTAAAAGATTTACTTATAACATCAAGAAATGCTTCGAAACCTTAATAGTCTAACAAAAGGATATTTGTTTTTATCAAGAAAATTTTTGTTGAACAAATTGCTGCTCAATTTGAAACGTGATTTGTTTATGTTTTTTAATTATTAAGATTTCAAAAGTTGCTTATAATGGTGGAGATGAATCAGTTGAAGTAAGCTGTAAGATAGAATTGTAATGTTTTGTTATACGGTAATATTACGAACTCATTAGGGAGATATGCCTATGATTAATTCTGCAGGAATCGAAAACGATAGACGGTGTGAAGATAGATAATGGTGTTGCGGTAGCAGATTTGTTAGACTTGGAATCTGAGCTTCATAACATTGAGCAAGGTTATAATCAACTGCAGAATATTCCGACATTCGCAGAGGATTCTTGGCCCACCAATGATGTATTCACTGACTTGCAGCCATCAACACCTTTTTTCTCACCATCAACTGGAACTGTTGCACCATTACCACCACCGCCTGTATCATCATTTGCTCTGAAAAATTCATCAGATCCTTTTGATGATAGTTTCAATCCCCGGTCTCTTCCTATAATTCGGCCACTTGGAAATATTCCACTAAATGCTTCTGATACCCAGCAGCCATCTTCTCCTTCAGCACAGCCATTAACAACTTTATTGTCGTATCCTAATGCATTTACATCCTCTACAAACGGTCGTTCAGTTGCTTTCTCGGTTTGTTTGTTTTTATATCGCTATGGTGACAGAATTATGTAGGATATATTATTTCAAATACGTTGATAAAAGTTTTAAAGTGGGAGACAACGAAACAAGATTGCTAAAGCATGACTGAATTGGCTCTGTCATATTTATGGTATAATGCAGTCACCAACAGTTTGTTTATTAATGAAATAATTTCTAGTAGCTCAAAGACTACAACATATTTTTAGTTTGTTTATTAATGGAATAATTTCTAGTAGCTTAAAAACTACAGCGTATTTTTATAATTGCTAGACTATTTTTATGGTAACTTTTAATAAACTATTGTTTTATATATTGATGGAATGTATTTTTTGCAGGAAACAAATCCATTTGCCTCATCAGTGCAGAGTACCACTGTGGCGAGGATAGAACTTGATCCATTTGATACACATCAAGCTCAACAAGTCCTGAAAAGTTCTACATCTTATCATCTTCCTATGGCAGTTTCTTGGTCAATAAATGAAAATACCATACCGCCAACAGGCACTGATTCAAGGTTTTCTTTTCTGCCTCGGTTCATATGTTGATTTCTCTCTTTCTCAACCACAGTAAAATGCTTCACCTAAATTCCTTTTAGAGAGTGACATTCGTAGTGAATTCAGTCTCTGGTTTGTCTGATGCAGACCTTCTTGTTAAATTCTTTTCGCTTTTAAAATTTTTGTTAGTTTGAATAAGTTTCGAATTTCAGTTATATCTTATTGTAATTACAACTTATACAACTTAGGTATTGAATTTCAGAATGCTTTCTAAATGGACAGAAAAGAAGAGGGTATCAACCTTGGAAGAAGCGTTCAATAAACTAGTTGATATGGATACACTCGTTTCCAGTTCGGAATTGAAAAAAAATCCATTTAGCGAACTAGTGATTCCACCGAAAAAAGTATCGATGGACGCGATGACAGCGAATGCAACGATAACAGGAGCAACAGCGGTAATGACGGGTTCGCCACGGGCACCATGTATACCCACCCGATCTGCTCCTTTGATTGTTTCAACCACTTCCAACAATGATCCATTTAATGATGAGTTTTTCAATTAATAAATCTTTTCGATATACGGAAGTGAGTCAGTTAGATTTCTAGATTCATAATCGTTCAATTTTAGACTCATAATTGACACTATCAAAACAGTCTAGGAAAATTTTATCATATATTTGAGCTTCTGAAATGCTGAGAAAATTTCGTGAAGGTCTGGATCCTTTGTCACTCATTCTATTTTGGAGTTTCAGGATGACTAATTGTATGCAGTTTTAAGTTTATCGCTGTCTCTGTTCTTTCGTTTGATGTTTGCATGGTTCCTTTTTTCTTAGAAAGAGTCTCCTTTGGAGAATTCTGCATATGATGAATTCGTAAAATTAAGTTTACATACGAAAAAATATCCTCAGTTACGATAGCAAAGTTGAAACTTTTTTATCAGCTTTTTTGCATGTATTGATGATTTCAGATAAATTTCAATTTCATCGTCGGGTGACGGACGTATTTTTTTTGTGCTCAGTTCTTTTTACTTTACCACTTTGAGGAAAAGCTAACTTTCAGAGGAAAGTTAAGTTGTTTGCAAATTTATATCAGATGTTTTTGAGTGTAAATCTAGAAATTTTTTTTAAAAATGAAGTGCTTTAAGATCCTAAGGAAATCAATACCTCGTATTTGTTTATAAATTTATTTAATATGAACTTAGCAAGCTTATCCTCATAGTGAATCCATATAAAGGTAATTTTTTCTACTTTTATATGCGCTCATCTCTTATGTTGAAATTTAGAGCACTATCTGCTCAAATTCAGATCCTTTTACTGTACTTTGTAAGATTTTAATATTCATAACTGTGGTGTTGAAAATATCTGAATTATTTAGAGACCAACAATGCATATAGGTATGTTTTACTAATTTTTAGCTGTTCGGGGATTAAGATATATGTTTTAACCCGCTCTGATATCCTGTTAGCATTAAATGTGAAATAAATATTGGGCGGTATTTTCTTTCTTAGTTGGCTCCATTCGTCACGTGTTCCTCAGTGGTTTTTCTGAAAACTCGACTGTATTCGTTTGTCTTCATCCATTCAAACGTGACTGTTGTTTCATATTCAGGCTTCCTGAATTAGACATTGCAATAGACATTAAAACTGTCCTAATTTTCGATACTTTTTAAGTAAAGCATTTCAGCTTGTTTCATGTGTTTCTTATTGAAAGGAGTGAGTGGCTTATTTGCATAAATCTGATAGTATCTTACCGAGATTTTCTGACTGCTTTATTTTTCATATGTTTTCCATGAGATAAAACATCATCTGCCTTTGTCCTTATTACTTTATTTAACACCCGTGATGTAAACAAGTCTTCTTTTATCTTATTTGAAGAACTTTTTATTCTTTGCTTCATTTATTATCCGTATATATTTTTTGGTTTTCTTACATTTTTTACACTCTAATACATTTCCATTACGCTAAGCAGAAGTGTTTCGCATATGACACCTAGTATAAATGCCCAGTACTACCGGTGTATTGTTTGTTGCCATTTCTTCTCAAGCTACACGGTCTCACATGGAGGAACTTCAGCTTTAGTGTCCAGGGTTTCCATTATTTCAATTAAGCAAGGCATTAAGTTCCTTCCACTCAGTATCGAAGAGAGGGTAGTGCTATATACCCGAAACCACTAAACTAAAAAAGCCAAAAACGAGACCGAGCAGGAACGTTACAAGGAATATAAGAGACATCATAATCGAGTAATTGAGGTTCCGATTTCGAAAGTCAGCTAAAATTGGGAAGCAAGCAAGTGACTGCGAAATTTGTTATCTGTTGATGGTTCAAAGCTACATTTGTGATTGTTATTGTAACAGAGATGAACTGATTGCAAGGTTAAACAAATATCTGAAGTCCTTGACATTATTTGCGAAAAGTTGTAAATAGATATGACCGACTGCACTTCTTTTATCTGTCTTTTGCTATCATTTTTATATGTTGCGGAAGTTTTCGAGGAACTCAGGTTGTGAGTTCGGGAATTTTATCAGTGGTGGTCTCATCAATAACCAGTGGTATTTGTAATGAAATCATTAATAAAATAATGGTTATGATGGCAGTAATAGAAAGCATAAATATGACAGTGGCTGCGATGGGAATGGCCAATAGCAATTCAATTCAGTGTCTAGATCAATGACAAGTCATTCCGATTAAAACTTGTCATTTATCCGCACAACGCTCTAGCCAAACCAGAAGCATGCGTTAACTTGCACACAACAATTCTATCAACAAACGAACTGAATAAATCCATTCCATCAGGCGATCAGGCGAATTCTTTATTGTTCATTTACAATGTGCCATTTATCATCAACTTATCGCAGGCACCATTGCCATTAACATCTTTACATGGAGGATGAGACTGTTTTAAACTGCAATTTCATTGCAAATCAAGATTATAGTTATTACCTAATTTTCGAGTTTTAATTTTGTAGTACTTACATCAATTCAAATTGCGATTTCAATCTCAATCAATTCAAATCAATGTGAAATTTTCATGTGAAACGACCACATTAGTCTACTTGGAAAGCAAACATTCTGATTTGATTGTCTTAGGCTGTAAGACTGTATTTGATAGCATATGTGGCTCATTTCGCATGTCACTTCTTGCAACAAGTTTAGCTGTTCTGTCAGCGGTTTATAAGCACGGAAATCCTCAAAATCATTACTTTCGAATTTCTCGACTATGTATATTTAAGCACGCCGGACATTCTGTGGATTCTCATTAAAATTCTAATCCAAGCGTTCCAAAGTGACGTCCCTTTGCTAAACATTTTCCAAATGACTTTTTAACAAATTCAAACATATAACAGGATTGTGAGGTTCTCTATTTTATCTCTTAGCTATCAAAAAACATGACCTTTCCTCATACGAAAATAAGCTAGAACTTTAGGTATCTTTTATCTATGTGCCAATTTCAGTACTTGCATTATCATTAGATGAATCAGCACAAACACCTTACTATAATGAACTTATTTCAAAAGGTTATTTCAGTCAAATTAGTCGCTGTACAACAAAGTAAAGTTAAAAATAAGACAGCTTGAAATTACGTTTAATTCATGCATAAGCTTGAAAAAAGGGATGCAACAGAAAAGTGATTCAGAGAGAACAAGTCTAGCTTGTTGAGATTTTTTCTTCAGAACAGAACTGAAAGTTAGCGAAACTGAATAGGATTAAATTAATAGTTAAATAACGTTAATAAATCGAAAAAAAAATCAATACATTCATTTGATTTTTGCTGCTTATCATCTATTTCAATATAAATGAGGAAAGAAATAACAAAATCTGAAGATTAGCCGGTGTTGGGAGGGAATTATCTTCGGTTACACACATAAAGCCTGAAAAAATGTTCTGAAAGAATTAAATATTATGTATTCCAAATGTATAAAAAATATATAGGAATATATTTCAAAACTTCAAAAGAAATTGAAGTGCAAGGATAGTAAATCCTGAATGGAGTAAAGTTCCCAACTCGAGAAACCTTTTTGCATAACATCAGAACTGATGTTTTCTGATGTTCCCTACTTCCACTGTCTTATATCCAAGAGCAGACAATTATGATGAATTAAATTAGAAACTAAAAGCTCAAAAAAGAAGGGATGAAAGCAATTACTTCTTTTATGAACTGAGGAAGTATAAAAGCTGAACGATGTATATCTGAATTATAATATTTCAAATTCATCCGCCTGACTTCAGATTCTGATAACATTTTTTGTGGTATCGTAAGATCATGCTTCTAAAATAGTTAAATTGGCTTCATTACATATGATAAATGACGCAAAGAATTTTAACAAACGATATAAATTTACAAAATCCATCTCCCTTTTCTGCGGCACCGTAACATTATACTTTTAAATAGTACTAACCTCATCTTTGCTGCATAACAAATAACCCATTTGCCCAGAGGGATATGTAGGTACAAACCCAACTGCATAAGCTACACGAGGATATAAAGTTGACACATGTTTAATGACGTTTTTAATCAACTTCATGTCAAGCCAAGGACATTCACCTAGAATAGATTGAAAAGGATTTGAACTTTTGTCACGAGTTTTCAGTGCAGATGAATGGGAGAAATCAGAAGAATAATCGAGATGGCTTTGAGGTTTTATTTTGTTAATGAATTTTTCCAATTCATCAAAGTTTTCCGCTAGATTAATTCATCATACTTATAAAAATAAACAATTGGTCTATTATTTTGCATGGATCAAAATTCATGGAACCGCTATCAACAATCACAGAAATTGTAAGACATCATTTATCCAACCGCACTACCGTTTGTTGATCAATTCAAAATTAATATACAACAATACTCAGAGCAAAAAAAACAAAAAGTGCTTGTTTGTCAAAACTGTTTATAACTCATGGTGATTCGATTAAAAAACGAACCTTGAGAAGAAAGCACTCCTTTTTCCGTTAGCGCTTCTTTGATTAAATCGTAATAAGTTTTACTGAAAAGCTTCTTTGCTGGTCCAATTGGGTCAGATGAATCGGTTATGATCACATCAAATTCTCCTTTGTGTTCCTAAAGCAAACTCTTAGCAGAACAGTGGAAAGCAGCAAAGCAAGCAATGTAGAGCACAGAAGTATTTCGAAATTGAGTTATAAAGGAATTCCCTATCAGTACTTAAAAATTTTAACGACTAAGGAGACTTTAAACTTTAAATAATAATGAAAACTGAAGAAATTTGGAAGGACAATCTTTCGAGAATTCTCTTTTCAATAAAAAAATAATAAACTTACCTTTAAGAAATCAAATCCATCTTGGACAGCAAGTTTTAATTTCGAACTACTAAATGCGAGAGACATATGAGGGAGAAATTTCTTTGAAAGATTGATTACTGTTTCATCAATTTCACATATGGTTACTGATTCTACACATTCATGTTTCAGCACTTCTCTCAAAACAGCACCATCGCCACCACCAATAACTAATACCTAACAAAAATCAAGTGAACGACAGCATATAAATAACTGAAAATAAGTAGGTACAATAGTAAAATAGTGGCAGAACTTTTAACCAAAAAAGAGAACTGCTCAAATTTTTGAGGGAAACTACTTTGATGTCAAAATGAATTAAAAGTAATAAACGATCAGACATTTAATACCCAATTAAGAAGAGAAAAAAATTAATGAGAAAAGAAAACTAATATTTTTAGGTTACACAAACAATGTATTGTTACACGCTGTGTTCTATTTAGAAAGAAGAAAAACAATGCATATTTAAATTTAAAAGTAAAACCAATTAAAAAAAAATTAAAATCAGCAATCAAGAAATGCGTACTTTCCGAGGCATTGGATGAGAAAACAATGCTAAATGAGTAACCATTTCTTGATAAGCGAATTCGTCGTGCTCTGTACATTGAATTACGCCATCAAGCACTAACACGTTACCATGTGTGCTGCTATAAGTATAAAACTTTATATCAGTCATTCATTAATATGACGAAAGTAAATAAATCTGAAAACAATGTAACGGAAACTGAAGCCAAGAAAATTCGTTAACCTTTTAAAAATTAAGATATCCTGATATTTGCTTCTTTCATGAGCAAGCACTTTATCAACCTTCAATGAGAATGCTTGCCCAGACCAAATATGGTTATCAAAACTGTCCAAATCATCGTCTTTGTTCGCCACTAATTTCGTTTTAAAAATATAAAACATTATGACACTGTGCATAATTAAATAATCAAAAAAAGTGAACAAGTGTTGTCATAGTGATTTTATCAGAATTTCAACTAACATCTAAATAACAAATCTAAAAATTAAAATCAATTAAAACAGATACAAATAATCCTTACAATGTTTTCAATGTTTAACTATATGAGGAAGAGTAACTCTGCAACCTGAAGTGCGAAATATTAAATATATATATATATATATATTTCCAAATATCACATATATTGCCCAATACAAATCCTGAAGCATACTTTCTGGATCGTCATTTTTTAATGACGGTGGTAATTCCGTAAACCAGCCATCTCGAAAGACATTCATTTTTTATTTTCAGCTTCCTCAGTAAATCGAAATTGCATAAGCTGTATCGTTTATTCCTAAATATCATGTAGCATATAGCAGTGTATGAAACAAGAAACTGGCATCTATTTGGATATTAGCACTTTCTCGCAGCAAGCGTCACCATACGGCTCTGTCTCTTTAGCGATGAAGCTATCTTTACTGAGACGAAATGATTCGAACTTCGATAATCAAAGTCAGAGATAAAATATGTGTGCTTTGTTTTATTCGTTCGTCGAATTCCAAATGCCTCGATGGCAAGATTTAAGACTTAAGAATGAGAATGCAGTGGAATGACGTGGATGTGAAGAAGTCATTACATGCTAGGTAAAGAAAAGAATGAAAATAAGAGACTGTGTCAGCTATCAAAGACAGGGAAGTGGATAACGACAAATAGGCATACGAGTGCACGATGGCATGACAACTCCCATCTGTCTCACCCTACCTCAGCCTACGTTGCACACAGCAAGCTGCACCCCATATATCATGCAACTCCCCAAGTTTCGTCCAGAGGACACGGTATGCAAAAAGCTAATCCCACGTGCCTGAATGACCTTGCAAATCTCCAGCTACTCGCCTATTTGATGTTGTATGCCAAGCCTTGTCTTTATTTACTGTTGTTAAATCATAAAACGTAAATAGCGTGAAAAGAGCAAAGAGGTGTCACGTTACTAATGTGATAGAGACGAAACAACATTTGGTCAATGGAAGGGTCAATTAAGTGAAAGAGATAAGTGGCAAAAAAGGCGAGTTTTTATAGAAAAATGAAATGATAAAAGATGAAATAAAGAACCGATAAATGCTATCACTTGCTGCCTGAATAGAATACATTTTTATCACTCGCTCAATACCATATGTAGACATGTCCATTCTACTTCTCTTTGTATTGTTGTTAATGACAAATTCCGCCTCATAAAATTCATTCTGAAGTTACTGGATGCAGTTTTAGTTAAGATTTTCTGAATGAACGAAAGTATTGTAAATTGCACAAAGCAGAAATTTTTATTCTGTCATAATAGATGTTGCATAAATTCTAAAAAAATTCTGATTATGTCAAGAATGTTACAAATTCTATGAAAAATTCTCAGCTTTTGATTTCCTGATTTTTTAAACTTTAAATACCTATGGTTTAATGTTTTGTGGTACATTCTTGTCATTGAAATCATTTGGGAAAAGAACTTCAACTTTATCTCCTCGACTTGGCTGATATTTATCGCGAAGCTCATTCCAAATCTAGAGAGCATTCGTTATTATGTGTAACAGCATTGCTATGTGCAACGGGAATCATATCTATTGTTTTTCAGATCAGTTAGAAACTATATCCTTATTTGGGTCCGTATTTATTATTCATTCTGAGTAATTGTGAAACTGAACTAACGTTAAATAAAATTTAAGCGCAACTAATTTCAAATTCAAAAATCTTAAAGTGAAAACTGTAAATACTTAAAATAGATCAGGACTATTTCGATCGGAAATCAAGAAAAAATTCCATGGATAGAGAAAAGAGCCATGTTCCGGATCCGGAATGTTCTGAAAAAGAGCCACGTTCCGGATCCAGAATGTTCTTATGCATTGCGAAGGGTTTTCTTGCGAAATATTTTCACCTGACTGAACAATTTCCGTTCACCTTCATTTGCTACTCTTAAAGCCTGCAGTCCGCGTATTTGTTGTATTTTTTCGGCAATTGTCTATAAAGTTAATTTACATTGACTTTAATTTAGAAAATGCTTTCATAATTGGAAACATATTACATGAAACTCTGCTTTAGTAATTGCTTTCTCTCGCCACGTCCCCAGCATGTCACGCCAATGACGCCAAATCCTTTCACATATGATAAATGCCATCAGTACAACATGTAAAACCAAGTATAAAATGATGAAGAGTGCCAATAACTTAATGGCTGAGTGGAACTAAAATGATTTGGAGTACGTTAATGTGCAAGTATAAATGTAAGCAAGCAAAATATCTTATTTAAATCACTACAAGAAAATTAGATAAAGCACCTGGAACCATACTGGTGTGCTAGCTTCAGAAAATCGATTGAAATGTATCATTTCTGGTTTTGTTTTGTTTAGAGTCTGTAATTTTATTCATATTCCAATAACTTAACTTGCATAGTTGATAGAAGAAATGGGCGCTCCTCATTCCTGTTTCGAAAAATGAATAAAACAAGTGAATTTCTTTCATGTCATGCTTTTCTTTATACTTTTATTTGGAATATAGCATTAGTTGGTACTCACCAAAAGCAAATTGATAGGATTAATGGAGCTGAAATTTACGTCCACTGAATCTAATTTGCCAATCATTTTCAGAATGTATGCATTCAATGGTATTATAATCTAAAATACAAATGAACTTTTATTAGAAATAATTTCAAAATATGAAATGAGGTTGAAATTGGTCAATGAAGTTATAAAGCTTTTTATTGTTTGGAAAAATTCCTCTAGTTGACAATTGCTTCTATCACGTTAGAAAGTAAGTATTGTAATATTACAAATAAGGCCAGCATCACAAAAATTTTATCTCAAAGCTCTGAATGATTAAACTTTATGATAATTTGTGATGAGGTAAAAACCGTATTGGCATTTTTCCTTCTCGGAATATCTTAAAATCTCGATCTATTTGATATGCTCCATAATGAAATAAAGAAAAAAATTACTGTCGTATTCAAGTCAAACAAGTCATCTCTCGTTACGTATCTAATTACCTGAAAGAGAAAATCACATTTCATGCTTTTCACACAAATGTTTATTGTCCATGGCCTAATTTTATAGCATTAAAGCTCTGTTAACGTCAGAAATACCCCAGTAACATTTTCTCCACCACCCATCATAAAAGCAACCACTTGATAAATGATAAATGAAAAAAAAATAAACATTTGTACTTGTTTGTTTTTAAAAGGCAACTTATATTCATCAGTAGAAAATCTCGACAAATTATTATTTCAATAAATAGATGTTTAATTTTGTCACCCTCAGTCATGTTTAATTCATTTCCATGTATTTTTTGCAAAACTGAAGAGACAAAAAGATTATGCACTTCCAACCTTTCATAGTATTTTTGGAAAGTCTCGAGGAGTATCGAAATACAAAAAAAAATGTTCCTTGGTTAACAAATATGACACAATATTTTGAACCACAACTAACATTACTTCACATACATTGCTAACTTTGCTCTCAGAGTCAATGGAAAAACCGGAATACTGAAGTAAAACATATTCAGAAAATGAAAATCCCAGATTGATGTCTCGTGAAGGCGAAATGAAATAAATCGCAATTAAAAGCTTACTCTTAAAATTCTTGGAATTGCACTAGGCGATGCAAAAATTGATAGTTTCAATATATTGCGATGGAAAACACTAGAAGTAACAAACACAAAATTATCCGAGGTTTGGTGTCGGGATTTTGTGCCTGACAAAGCTTATCAATAAAATAAATAACTGATGAGGCAGTTGGGAGAACAACAGATGATGTATCATAAAGATCAATAAAAAGAACTTATGCTATAAAACATCAATAATAAACGATAAATTTATAACCCGATAACAGTGCACAAAGCAAGACTCTACTCGTGAATATCTTAGATCCGACAAGGAATATTTGTGAATTCCATCTAAAATTGATAAAGTTGATTGAAATTGCTCACAACTACTAAAATATCAATTTTTATAAGTTTATTAAAAGAAGCACAGACGATCGTATTTCAGAATAACAGTTCCTAAAACTGAACAAATAGATAGCTCTCGAAATAATTTTACAAAATGTAGACTGAAAAAATACTGTTTATATTTTGCTTATAGCAGTCATTTCAGACCCCGAATGTTTTGGTGCACATTCCGGGCAGTACCATTTTCCTTTGGGTTTTTCGATGACGTTAACACAGCCATAATGAAACCACTCATAACGACATTCTGGATCATCACAAGCGACCATCGAACCATACCCTTTCTAAAAATCAAATAATCAACAAAAAGAATCCATTAGAGTACAATTATAAATTGTGCTTATCATAAGAAATCTCACATAAAATATCGCTTTGCAAAGCTACCAACGCTCATTAAAACTTATTGAAAGAACATCCAGTACTCATTTATGCTCTGGACACTACTCTAACCTAAGTAACATGATGATAACGAGCTATATATACATAGCAGTACTGTGTTAATGTAACTAAGGGAGTCAAATGAATTACACATAAAAACGCTCACCAATAATATAACAGAGTAAAATAACATTTACCCACAATAAGAGTAAAATAACAAGTAAAATAACAAAGTAAAAACAATAAATGAAAGAAGAACAACAAAAGGAAATAGTTTCAGACAACGTTGAGTCAAAAATTGTGTGCAAAAAATGCAGAGGGAATACAGATAGAGACAGCAAGATTTGGAAAATTTATCCATGGATACAATTTACTTCTCATTTAACCTGTACACATATTTAAACTGCAAAAAAAGAAACTAAGAACTAAATGCTATTTCCAATGTATATACTATGAAACTTCTTCAAATTTCCTCACCTCAATCTATAGCACACCTTGCCTAAGAATCCTTGACTTTCACACCATAAAAAATGTTCAGTAAAAAAAGGTGGTAAGTAGCAATTTTATAGAATCTACAAATAAAAGGGCATACGAAAAAATAATCGCATAAGAGGTACCAAAAAACCATTTCTTAAAAAGGAAATTTTTTATTTAAAACCTATTATGCAGTAGATTTTATTTTTATTTTATTTATTTTTTGCTATCTTTATCCTTCCCAACAAAAAAAAAATTCGCAATTCCTCATAAAAATTCAAATTTTATAAAGATTCAGACAACCATTTACTACTCCATGCCATTGTAAGGGGTGCAGATCATAATTTTCCTGCAAAAGTAGCAATTTAGAAGTTTTCTCCTTAATTTATACTTATATTCAAAAAAAAATGGAAACTTATTTCGCGACAGAAACACCATACGCGTCGGTCTGAATCAGATTCATCGTCGCTTCCTTGCATTAGTTCGGGTGAACAAGAAGTAAGACTTGTTGCACGACGTTCATGGCGTTGCATAGTGTATAGCATTTCTTGAGCTCTAGATGTTAACCTAAAGTATAAATATCCATTGCTTTAGAAAAAATCGATGAATCAAGAATAATGACATGAAAACACGAAGACAGTTTTTAAAGATTATAGGTATAAGCGTACCATGACAATTAATACAGCAAAAAAAGCTACTTTCTTGGACGGCCGTGTCGACTTTCCTGAACGGCAAGTGACATCATTGATTGTCCTGAAGCAAGTCCAGATGTTGCGGTAAAGACACTTGGCTAAAACGATATTTTGTATTTGTTTAATTTTATAATGGTTGACATTTTAAAGACTAACATAAAGCAAATTTCGCAGCAAAAAATCATCCCATAATTCAACCATATGAATTATTATAATTCCAAACTGATAAGAATAAAGAGGAAAAATAACCAGAAGAAAGCTAATAACGAAAAAAAGGAACCTTGTTCAATCTATATGAGTTTCTCATCTTGCAACTTAAGTATTATGACTTACTTAGAGTGAAGCGCGCACACTTCATGAAATCGGAAGTATTAATGATCAATCAGATCTAACTAAACCTAAGTTTAACCTGCAAAAATATTAGATAATTATATGAGATGTGTTGCACTTCATTCCTTCTTTTATCAACTTCCTAATAAGTATGAAAAATCACAAGTATCTATCACCTAAAAAAGAAGAGATTAAAAAATACAGAAAAGATAGAAGGAACTAAAGAATCTTTTTTAGGAACAATCAAGTAAAGAAGGCACAATAATATTACGTGACTACAAGATGAACCCTTTTTTCAAAACATTTTTATCCAAATTAAAATCAAAGAATTTATTAAAAACACAGTTTGTGAAATCACTAATTTCTCTGAAACTAACATTTGAACTTTTCGGAGGATGCACTGAGAACTGTACTTGCGAAGAAGTAGATGGAGTTTGACTTGGACTGTTCCAATCATCACCTATGAAATTTTTTTTTTAGATATGCAAGACTTTGAAAACTTTTAGCGGTAAGAAATATGAAGTGGTGAAAGCCCAACTTAATAGAAAACATCATAGAGATTTTCGATCAAAACTCATTATAGCTCTAAAACTCATAACATATAATATCAGTTCTAAGATGAAAATAAATGACGTTTCGACAATTTAGATAACCAACCACGATCACAAGTGCTGCCTGCTATAGACTGAGCATGTACTGCAGCAGGCGAATGAACGTTATTGATACCGATCATTTTTTGAGGAGTGACAAGTGAGCGTCTCTGTAAAATGAGATTTTATTAATGCATACAATTTACTTAAATCATTCATCATACTAAGGAAAGTAAATTGTTAGCGTGTTCAGCAGCTTTACAGTTTGCAAATCAATAAGGAAGCAAGATGATGAGATATCCAATGAAATCGCAATATTTGAACTATAATTTTGTCATCTGTTTAATACCACAAAATTTTGAACAAATTAAAAACTTCAAATATAGTTTTTATTTTGTTGAAGAAATGTTTCTTGTTCACAATACACAGAAATTGATTACAAGAATCTAAGAAACACAATACAAAATCCAAGATACCAATTCTTAGTTCTAAATTCATCTCCAACTCGTTTTAGAGCTTCTTTATCCACCTGATACGACAATCATGGATGTAAACATTCAAGAATAAACATTAAAGTAATCAATACAGCACAGATATCAATAAAATACTACTATTGTTACTGAATGTGACCATCTGTAAAACAAATGTTTCCACTCCCATTCAAAATTAACTATAAACAGTAAAGCTAAAAGTGGATGTATAGAAGTATTAACAACGTATAAATTCGGTTACTTGCTCCTAAAACCTCCAAACTCAACATCTAAATTCATTGAGTAATACAATATAAATTCTTTATGATAACTCAAAATCTTTATGAAGGTTATGAGAGCAAGTAGACAAGTGTATCAAACAGGATTTATTCTATTCAACTCACCACGATTACCTTCAGCGGGGGCAAATCAGAATCACGATCACTAATAGAATTGTTAGCTCGACTACAACTTGGTCCAGGTTCAACATCGCGTGCCCCCGCTGCAGGAAGTAATGAATGACTTCCAGTTTGTTGAGTCTGAGTACTCATATCCAATCCAATTTCACACGTATCATTCAACTGCCCTAAAATCAACTTTGTCTGCGCATGAAATTTAAACTCGCTAAGTTAAAAAGAGAACAAACCAGTGATCGATGTTTCCGACAAAGGATTTGAGTTGCCGTTTATCATATTCGCAAGATTGACATTGACTTCCCGATATCTGCGTCTTCCTAAAATAAGATTGAAGCATTTGTTTCTCAAAAGTATTTGCCTGCAAACATGAAAAATGTTCATTTTGAAAGATTTTTTGAAACAGAAGTCTTACGTTCTTTGCGTTGAAGGAATAGATTTTTTTCTATCTCATTGAATTCTGAAATAAACAACCGCTCATTAAAGAAAACAAGGGAAGAAACGAACACAAAGTTAAGATGCTAAGCGAAGTGGAATGCATATTTGAAAAAGACTCATAAATTAAAACTGCTCCATAAAATAAATATGTCAAGGACATTAGATTCACGAGCAAACGAAAACTTCAATGCTTACTTCTTTCAATTTGTTCAGTAATGCCAGGATTATCAGCTTCAAGTTCCAGTTTGAAATGCAATATTTCTTTGTTCAACTTTTGGCTATATTTCAGCAAAAGTGAATGGCAAACATCCAAGATTGCCACTTTTTCATCCGAAAGAGCTTTCGCTTGCGCATAGAGCTACAAAAAAAATTGAAACTGCCGGTTGATATTTAAATTCAAATTAATTTCAGTAAGAGAAACTAACAACATTTTGGAAACAGATCTGAGACTTGCTCTAAAACAAAATAAACTTCAGTCCAAGATGTATTTTAAGTATTCCAGTACAGTAATTATAAATTTAAAAATACAACCAAATGCAAAACGTAATTTAAAAACGCACTTCTAAGATTTCATTGTAGCGCTTTACTTTAACATCATGAGGAAGAGCACCACCTGTAGAGAAGAATTCATCTCTTTCCTTATTGGCGCGCTCGTGCAATTCTAAAAACTGAATTTGAAATATTACAGAATTCCTTCTATGTTCCCGTTGCAGTTCAGAAAATAAATGTCAGACATCAGCTGTGAATAAAATGTACTTTTCAAATACTAGTTTGGATTTCTGAGAAGCAATATAGTTCAATAAATCTCACAACCTTATATATATATATATATGACACATTATCTTACCAAGAACAATATATCAGTGGCTTTGGTATCATTTAGAAATGCATATATAAAAAGTAAAGAATGAATTTATTGGTCACTTACGCTGCGCTTGCAGGTCCAACATTCGAACTTCAGTGCTTCTGTCCCTCAACTCACCAGGTAATTGATCAAGTACTGTAATAAAGAAACTGAACCACCAATTACACTACTTCTAGTAAGATGAAATTCAAATTCCAAGTACGCAACTTACATTCCAGAAAATCCTCCAGATATAACATTTTCTTCCGCTTTGTTTGTTGAATAACTTTAATTCAGCCCTACGAGTATTCACGCATAAATTGACAAACATCCAAAAGCTTATAGATTCATTTAAATAACAAGAATCAATACAACATCCTGAATTCTCAATAACTTCTACAAGTCAGATAAATTCACTGCTACTACATAAAAGCAAGGACCAGGTATCAATTCATGTGCAAAACCTCACATGTTAAAGAAGTAATTACCAGGTAAACTGTATTTTTTTTTAAAACTAGAAAACGCCTATTTAATATTTGCTACTCATCTATTCCTCATTAGACTTCAAAATAGTTACGACGTAGGCATGATTATAGATGTAAGGATATTAAAAGATGGAGAAATAAGATTGAGATATTAACCAAAAGCATAAACTGATCTATGGACAACACTGCCTGTGATTCCAATTGATACGAGTGAAAATAAATCAACAGATGTAAGACCAAAAAAAAGTAAGTGACACTTTTCGATAAATCTTTTATTAATAGACACATTCACACCAAAATTTTGAGAAAAATAAAATCTATATTTTTAGATGTTACAAATTAAACAGTAATACATTATGAACTACTCTCATCGAATAGTAATTTTCTTCGAATCCTGAAATATTCCAGATATTTCGAATTTCGTTTTATTGATCTCCTGGTTCAAACGTATAATTGGTAATTGGATAGATACGTGGGTCAGTAAATGGATACGCCCGCTTGATATCGTAGGGATATTGCTTCAGCATCTAAATGCGGAGTTCTAACATTATAAGAAGTTTTATAAACTATGGATCTATTTTTTTCTTTGATAAAAAGAAAAGTAAACTTTCACTTTTAAATGTGCAAATTTTTAATTTTATTAGTTAAATATGTGACAATCAAGACATATTACAATGTCATTTTTCCACTTTCGACCTTTCGGCCACGTCTGAATACCAATCCAGCAAAAAATTAAAGCTGGAATTAAGTGACGGCAGAAAATTACCGTATTGGTCCATCTAAAAGAAAAACTATATAGTTTTTAATCTAGAACATGGAAAATAAAAAGCCCTATAGTTCAAAACATTATCATCAATAATAAAGTTTTCAGGATCGATGAAATTACACTTAAATTGAAGTTCCCTCATCATCAATACCGGTGTAGGAATCACGATCAGATGTGTGCATTATCGCTTGGATGTCCATCTGAAATTTTCAAAAATCTGAAGTAGTGAAGTTAAAATATTCTTCCACAGAAAACCTTCGTAGTAATGTAAACCTTTCTATTCTCAAATCATTCATCCACTGAGAATATTATATGACAATTCAAGTCTCCCACAAGAACATTGACAGTTGGTCCAGCACTTATAGCAAAAATGCTTTTCAGATTCGAAGTTCAAATGATACTATTTAATTACTAATGTCATAAAGTTAGTAGATAAAATGGAAATATTTAGATTTTTCATTAAAAATTGGTGTTAAATTAATTCATTTTCGGATACGTACAGAAAAATTGTAAACAATATTTCTGTGAATAAAATTTGTAAACAACCATGCCTAATGTAACTTACTCCTTCTCCCCAGTTTCTTCGATAGTGTGGATCGCTCCAGTTTTCATATGGATCCTTATGGTCATATGTAACGCATCCATAATCTGGATAATTTCCTGCGTACTTATAGCAATCGTCTTTGTCATACGGCCTACAAAAAAGAAGCAAAACATCACTTTAAATATTATAATATACTTGCCTTCGCAGTGCTATGTAGGACTAATAAGATTAACTCCTGTTTCTTTTTTTTTTTTTTTTTTCAGACTCTTTTTGGTGCTTTGAAGTTATTAAATAAAAAGCAACTTTTTCTTATTTGTTGGCTGTATTTTTTGGTAATACCCTTTTGTGTATTGATATTTTTTTTTGGCTTACTTCGCCTTTTTCTTTTTTTCTTGTTTTTACTTCTTTAATCTTTTTAATTACTTCTTCTAGCCTTTTTTTTTTGTTTTGTTTGATGGATATTTCTGTTGTTTACAATAGTGAATAATAATGATTTACCAACTTTAGTTAAGTGTAGAAAATCTGAAAATATCTACTATTGGTATTTCTATCTCAATAATATCAAAGCTAACATATGATAGCAGAGCTAACTTGTAATCTTCTAGCCTCATTCCATATTTTATCGCCGCTGCTCGTCGCTCTTCTTCATTTTTTGGATAATCATCCGGCATGTGATCACGTGGATACCAACCATCGATTGTCAGTGGTCCTCTTTCTAGAAAATGAAGATAGGGGAATGGCAAGACACTTGCTTGGGATAAAATACAATACTGTACAATGTAAAAACACGAGTAAAAAGATTAATAATGATAACAACATAGGTTAGCTTACTGTTCATGCGACATGATGTGTGGATCGAACGTACACATAATAGCACGGAACGCGATGATACCATTACGTCACGAAACCTGGAACACATAAGTTTTTTGAAGCGTCTCCAACAAATACTGCAAATTGCCAAACAGAAAGCTTTTCAATTAATAATCAAAATATTTTTACATATATGAATGTGTTCTGAAATATATTTAATAACAGAGAACATTTCACAAACTAATACCATCTGCAAGTACTATCTCCTTGACAGATTACATCTAATTCACTAGCAACTCACTCACTACACTATATGACATGCTCTATAAAATACTGTCAACATCCCCTCCTCAAACTGACCGCTAGCATCACCAATCGTTACTACAACCACTGAAAACATCAGTTGTGTCACTTCGCATCTCCTTACTATCTACTACACTAAAAACCCTTCCATTTTGCATTCTCTATTGTCGTCTGCTAAAAGCTATTTCACTAATGCATTTAAAAAAGAAGCATCGAGTGGGAATTAATAATTAATGAACTGCGAGAGACGGATGTGATGCCCACGGTAAGAGTTAGGAAGCGGGCAAATACTAATTAGTCCTAAAAAAGGATAAGATATTTCCGCGACAGATGCAAAGAGGGGTCATAGGTTAGGTTACGAAAAGTCTGAACATTTACGACTAAATTGGAGGACAGCGAGAGATACAATTAAAAGTCATCATTAGCAGTGATTTGCAGTTTGGCATCAAACTTGCAGGTTTTGAATCTTTATTCTGGGTTTTACTTTTCGTCATTCTTTGTGATGCATAAAATAGAATCAGAAAGATTTATTTCTCCCTGAAAATATTAATTTCTATATACTCTTAAATGTCTCTGAAGTTTCCTCCTTCCATGGACATATCTTCCCTGTTTTTCGGCGCATTCTGTTTTACCAGCTCCTGATATGATTTTATCATACGTAATGAATGAATTTCAGGAAATTATTTCAGATATTAATATGATACAACAATTTATGAACAGAATGGTCAAGGCAATCAAAAATCTGAAAATACTTTTTTTTTTCCTTTTCGTGTTGCGAACATTTTCAAATATTCACATCTGTAGTCGAATACATTGTTTAATGTAGGTGATACTTGACAACAACAAAAACGAATCTCAAGTTCACAGCATTATAAGTGTTTAAGCAATATCTTCACCTATTTGCTTTCACCGATATCCTACTATCTTTACCAATTAACAATATATTTATTTAATATATATAAATAAATAATTTGTCTATTTATTTATTTAATTAATTGACATATTATTGATTTACTCAGTTAACTTACTTCATTTAATCATTTATATACGTGTTTATTTATCTACTTATTTACTTTTTTAATCTGAAGTGGCACCCTTTTTCTCTGTCTCTTTGATTTTCCATGAAATGGATTCTTATTTTCCTCTGCTTCTTTGATTTTTTATTTGGTTTTTTTCATCATTTCTCAGGATGAGTTTTTCCTGGTGTCTACGATTTTACTCGTTCTTTTCCACTTTTACTTAATATGATGTACTGATTCAGTATTTTAATTTGAAATAATGTGAAAGAGTTCATTATTATTTTAAGTTTTAGCGGTTTGATAGCCTTCAGTGTAATGGGCGAAAATTGATGATAATATGTTATTGCAAATGAAATAGTTATTGCTCTTTCTGTGTAGTAGTAGTAGTAGTAGTGGTTCAAAAGTACTTCAAAATTTCGGTAAAAAGATCATAAAACTTTTCCCATTTATAGTCTTAAGAAGTTAGCAAATTAAGTTTTTTTTTTTTTTTTTTTTTGGTATAAAATCAGTTTGCATAATAGTATATATAATTCAAAGATAATTGTCAGTTTAATCAAATATAATTATCAGTCTAAATAACCGTACGTATTATCCGTTTTCAATTGAACTAAACATGTAAACAATAAGTGAAACGAGATATATGTCGCATTTTGGCACAGTAGTATAGCGTTTGCGGAATTTCAACCAAATTTTAAGTGAGGTAAGTTAGCATGATGGGAAAAAGACCTGTGTTTGATTATTCAAAACAACTAATCGAATGATTCTGTGCTTTTTTTTGTTTCCAACATTTCCGCGATTTTCAAAAGCGATTTGCATGGTCTTATTTTTTAAAACAGCTGTTGCTCGAAGTAAGCTTAAATGATTTTTTTTTTACGAAGGATCACTCACTAATCAACTACTTACCTTCCTTCCAAGTCATATTTTCTAGAAAATAAACGTATATTTTATAATATTTTTTAATCTATTTCAAATCTACTGGAAATAAACTTTCTTTTTTGATAAGTCTACCACTGACTTAAAAAGCTACGATGAAATTTTGCTTCTCTGTCCGTGATGTATATATTATACGTTACTCTCTCACATTACATTGTTGACTTACCTCATTAAAGCAATATCAGTAAGCTAATAGATTGATGCTATTCTCTTAATTCTGCTAAATGAATAGTCCATTTCAGTAATGGAAGACTCGAATCAATATTAGTGAGAAAAACTTGATTTTATTAATTATGAACAAAAAAAAAAAAAAAAAATCATGAACAAAAAGAAAATAATGAAATTTCCGAGGTCTATGCCAATTGAAGCCTTTTCCAACTGACAAATTAGTGATTTAATAGCTTTTTGTGCTGTACTTTCGAATTCAACACAGAATTTGATACAGCTCCACCTTACTCTCTTCTGTTTAATTTTATACGTTCCATTTTTGTTTCATTCCACTTCATTTAATTCAGTTTGTCGGTTGAACTTTATTCCATTATATTTAACATGACATAACCTGGTTTTATTTAATTCAATTCCTTATTTGTATTCACATTTTATTATTATGATGGCGGAGGAGACAGGATAAGTACATATATGAGCTTTGAGAAAATGGTTCCTATATTGACCACAATAAATTCGATTGTTGATAAATTTAAAAACCACCAGTTTTGTTCGTGAAAATTGAGGAAGCCGATGTTTTGGTTGAAGGAAAATTCCTGGGGTTTGAATTTCATTTTTTACTAAATGTGAAAAAAACCTAGTTCCCAGCACTCCAGTTTCTAAGCCGTCTACTTATTCATGATTTTGATTTGAAATATTATTAGCTTATATTAAATTTAGATTTTATTCAAATTACACTCGACTTCCAATCTACAGAAAATCTCTTTTATCAGTCAGCATAGAGAGGATATGAAAGTTTTCGCTTCCCAAATAGAAAATGTAAGTTTGCAGAAATTTCCAAACATGTTAATCTTATTGCTAAGCACTTAGACTTTCTAGTCATGAGATGAGATTTTTAAAAGACGATGAGAAAGGAATACTTAAATTTTGGCTGAAAGGAAAGAATGTGAGGGATCTATTATTTTCTCATCCTATTGCGAGCAACTGTGAATATTTTTGTCTAGTTTACAACTGACGTCTATCCTTTGACCCATTTCCTGCACAGATGTAAAATGAATTGAGTTATGTTTAATTTTAACCCGTAACTAACCTCTTTCGGATTCAGGTTTTACTTCTGTTCGGGAAAAAAGCTTTAGAAATAACCGTTTATTATGTGATCTCTCCTTGACTACTCAATTTTTACCAAAAATTTTTCGAATTAACATCATTTAGCATTTGCAAAAATATTTTCATCGTGCCATCCCTAGTGCCGGGTTGAAATAATGCCAATTTTGCTGTATTTATTGGGATGGCGATGGAAAGAAGAGAAACAGAAAGGGAAAGGAAAGGAGGAATGGTCAAGGGATGGCTTTCAGAAAAAATTTCTTTGTAATAAGGATAAAGTTGCCTGAATGAATATCACTTTTAGACAACAAGTACCTATAAATGGCTAGGTATAATTGTCCCACAAAGCTTCCTTTAGTCATTCTTGGCTGACTTCGTCTGTTTCTGCAATGCTTCTATTACAGAGAGGAATTGACGATTTAGACGAGAACTTCTCTAACATTGTTATATATAAATTGTGAAAAGTCCTGGAAAGTTCTCTTTTCCGTATATTCTCTTTAGATAACAAAAACTACTTAGAATTAATTTGTACAACAATAGACTGCAGCCTTGTGTTCAAAACAAGTCATATTTCTGATCATCGTCGTTTTTTCTATGTAATGCATGTACTAGAAGGGTGAAAAGAAAATAGAAATATCTAAGTTGCGCAGTTTTCCATTTCTTTAACTTCTGATAAAACAATAAATATTTTTGAAATGAATCATTGATGAATGACAACACATTGAAAAGAACATATGGGACCAAGTAGTTTTGGTTAGACTTGATCCCAAATGACGTGACTGTTGTTTGGTTTGAATAACTTCAAATATCTCATAATATTAATAATTAAAATATTTCAAAAAGCTTCCTTTATCAGAAAAACTATTTCTCTGAATTGAAGATTTTAGCCTTTATCAGTATTGTTCAGCTTAATTTTCCAGTAATCTCTCATCAAAAAATAAAGTTAAAATCTTCCTTTTGTGAACGCTTCCTTCAGTGCAAACTTTTAATAATTTTCAGTTATGCCTAAAAGAGAATCATGAATATGAGACTTCTAAAACCTTCAAAAATTCTGAAACAAATAGTTTTAATCAAAAACAGTAAAACACTTATTTTATCTTATCATCTCATTTTCATATTTCATTAGGTTTCGGACATAAAAATCTTTTTCTTGCAGTAAATAAATCTAAATATTCCAATGTGCAATAGATTTCAGTGAGATCAGTCAGGATAAAATATTTACTTCAATATATTTACTTCAATAAGAAACGTACAAAAGATACAAATATATATATATATATATTACTTCAATATAAAATATTTACTTCAATATATTACTTCAATATAGCTAGTAAAAGAATTTCATTTTTCAATGAAGACCTTACTGTGTTAATGAATGAGTTCAGTTATTTCTTTAAGTTATCATTCTTGTTCTTGATTCTTAGAGTATAATTATCGAATCATGTAGTTTATTATAGAACACATATATGTAATTTTCATTTTTGAAAAAACATTTTGGGTTTTGCTCCTTCATTCTCACTATCCACATAGTAAATTGTCATTTCTTGCTTCACAAAGATTT